CGGAAGATTATGTCTACATGTGCAATCAATTACTCTCTAATAATAAACAATACTGTAAATTATCAACAAGTTCAAATATTAATATTTGTGGTGACCAGTTTTTACAAAAATCTGTGAAATATTATAAAGACCTAATTGAAACATTTAAAGTTTCTTTATGTGAAGAAGAATATAAACATTTGTTAAATTCTGTATCAACAAAGAAGCATTCTTTTGAAAATAGAATATTTTATGGCTTGCCGAAAATTCATAAAGAACCAGATCAATGGCTAATAAAAGGAAAAATTCCTAAAGGCAGACCTGTTGTTAGTAATTTAAGAACAGAATCCTATGAAATATCAAGATATTTAGCTCATTACCTCAAGCCCATTAGCATGCTGCATTCTTCATATATTGGTAATTCTCAACACCTTTTAGATGAACTGGATAGAATAAAAATTCCAGATGATTCTCTCCTTGTGACATTTGATATTAAAAGTATGTATACCAATATCGATACTTACACTGGACTAAAAGCTAAAAAATATTTCTTTGAAAAATATCCTTCCCAGGAGAGGCCTGACATGTTTCTCATTGAACTTCTCAAATTCAACTTACATAAGAATCACTGTAAATTTATAGACAATATTTACTTGCAAAAAAGTGGTTGTGCAATGGGTCTAAGTTATGCTCCAGCCTATGCAAATACATGGATGGCTTGGATTGAAGAATTATACCTCTTTAATATTAAGCCTAAGCCTCTATTTTACAAGAGATATTTGGATGATATTTTCTTATTTGGACAAGTGGAGTACCTGAATTTCACAAGTATCTTCAGAAAGCAAATAATATATTGAAAAATTTAAAGTTTGAAGAAGCTGTCAGTTATAATTGCATCAATTTCTTAGATTTAACTCTCTTTAAGGGAACAAGATTTCTTTCAAACAATCAACTTGATTATATGACTTTCTTTAATGAATGTGATACTTTTCATCAGCTTCACAAGAGTTCTCTTCATCCCAAGCATGTTTTTAAAGGACTGCTAAAATCTCAATTTCAAAGATTTCTTTTTTTTCAAACTTGTCAAACTGTAATGAAACCTCTTTTAAACCAAGGCTATGCATCAAAAGAAATTCAGAAGGCAATAAATTCAGTGCTTGAAGAAAAATTCAAGAAAGAAAAATACCAATACAATTTAGAAGAAAGTAGAAATAAGAATCTTTGCATTCCTGAAGACTTAAACATATATTTTAACACCAGAGAAAAGATATTCTGCCCTCTTAGATTAAATTTCTTCTATAGGAAAAATTCAATAGACTTGATAACAAAAAATTCAAAAATATTTCTTCTACAATGTAAAGAATGTGCACAATTGATGTATTTCCACTTACAAGAACAATATACCAAAGTCAACATATTCCAAACACTAAGACACCTTCTATCAAGAAACTATTTAGAATTAAAAAATGATGAGCTTGTTGAAAACTTTATACAACATCAACATTTTGCAGAAAATCAATTAAACATAACAATATTTCCCTATGAACAAATTGAAAAAGATATATCAACTGTTGAAATTAATAGATATGTTTATCACTTGAATATGAAACACATTCTTTATTATCCCTTTGGTTTAGCCAGATACACCAGTTGTCAAGTTTTTACAAGAGTACAGTTTGTTATTCCATATAGAAATGATCTTGGACCCTTATTAAAAAAAATAGCAATAACTTATAGAAATTATTTACTAACTGGATGTAGGATTAAGAAGAAAACTTAAGCTTTGAATACATTTTTAGAAGGATTTAGTTTAGAATGATTAATTCTGTTCTGTGTAGCCTATGTTCATGTAGTATATCTTTCTTCATTTAAAATTATTTTTTGTATTATGTTACAAAATTGCAAAAACTTTTACAATAAAAATTTCTTGTATTTAGATCTTCCAAAATGGCAAACATGCAACCAAATCAAGTTCAAAGAGTAGAAAATGACCAAATAATCATAAATGAAACAATTGAAATGGAACATTTCCTGCAATGTTCTTTTGAACAATTTTTCAATTTTGGAACATTTTATAATCATCTTCAAAGGTTTAAAAGAGACAATAAAATTCACCCACCAACTTTTGATCCAAGTCAATATGAGAAAGATGTAGAAAAAATGTTAAAGTTTAAAAAATTTTGCAATGAACAATTGTGGCTTAATAAAGAAGGCATATCAAATAGTATCAACAAGGAACAATTGGTAGAATTGATACTACAACAACTTAATGAAACTGATGATATTCTAAAATATAACAATACCATGAAAATTAATAGAAAATGCAACTCAAATATTAATGAAATGGATCTTTTACAGAAATTGGAGTGAATCTTGGAAAGGAAGAAATTACCAATCTTATGAAAATACAACAACCAGCTGTGCAATTTCCCAACAAAATTAATATACTTCTTTTTAGGTGATGAAAGTTTGGGTAACTTAGATTTACTTCAGGTAGAAGATGTTAAAAGAAACATCAGCTTTTTTGGAACTGTTCTCATTATAAACATTTCTGGCTTAACCTTTCAAAATTGTAAAGAAATTATATCCAAATGGAAAATAAAAAGTCATATAACAGCACTTCACATTCCCTTTAACACCATTAATGATGCCAATGATAATTTTAAAGCTTTGCATAAAAGCACTGGAGTTACTAATGAATGCTTATTATTTATGCAATATAACATCAAAAAAAGTGATCTCCATCAACAACCAACCTCACAATCTGAAAACTTGAACAACATGTTTACAAAAATTATTGATATTAATACCATCATAAGAGGAGATCCTTTTCATGGTACTGTTCTGCCTGGAAAGATATCTTCTTTGAGAAATATTGTTCAACACTTGATTACAAATGAAATTATGGTCAAGTGTAAAGAAGTCTTTCAACAACAAAGTAGAACTGGAAGAAAAAAGAAAATAAACAGACCAATTCTCCAAGCTTCAAATCAACACTAAAATTAATCAGAAGTGTTACTTTCAACCATCAAAATTATTAATTCTTTTCATGTTTATATTTCAAATGAATATTTTTATCAAACATAAGAAGAAAAAAGCAATTTTAGAAAACAAACATTATATTAGTCCATTTTGATGTTGTGTTTGTTTAGACCAAAAAAAATACATTTATTGTACTTCATTAAATTTGTAGGTCCATCATAAATCCCTTGTATTTATTTTCCCATAGAGAAGCAACAGATGGTCAACAGACATATCCCAGGAAGGACTTACATAGTAAAACATGCCCTTCAAGAAAAAATGCAATATCTTGACATATGTCAATTACATAACCACCAGGGGGTGACAGAAAACGTCCACAACAGAAAACGTCCACAATTGACAGAAAACGTCCACAGATGGACAGAAAATGTCCACAGATGGACAGAAAACGTTCACAGATGGACAGAAAATGTCCACAAATGAACAGTAAATGTCCACATAGTATTAAAAAAATAATTAAATAGGAATAGAGAAGATGAAATGAATTAATGTATTTTTCTTAATTGATTACATACTAATGATCTGAGAAAATGAAAATTATGAAATTGCAAGTAAAAAAGTTTATTTAAGAACATAATTTTTCAAATGACTTGAACATTTTTGATATTTTTAATACTGTTGAATTAATACTGCACATATTTAATAATATAAAGCAGAACACATCTCAACAAGTTGACTTGCTGTGATGTCACCAACTTTAAAGTTTTCCCAAATGGAAAACAGTTCCTTTTGAATTTCTGTGTAGACTTTTTTTTGCATTCTCAATATCTTCTTCTCACTTGATAATTTTTCATAGACAGAAATTAAGTCAGCCTCTCTCTTTAGTTCATCAATAATTGTGTAAAATGATGAGTTTATTCCCATGTTTTTATTGAGTCTATTATGGAATCCTTCCAAATCATTATTAGTGCGGATTGATTGGTTAAACACAGACCAAGTTTCTGGAGGCCAAAAGCTTTTTTATCCAATTATCCTCCACATATTCTAATAAATCTCCAAGCTTATTTCTTTCAACCAGCTCACTTTTTATTTTGTAAAATTGATTTGCAATCAAAGTATGAGGGAGGTAGGGCAAAGCCATAATCATTTTCATTGATTGCCATTCTCCTTCTCTCTTTTTAAATTCTGGGCTGTAACCCAGATCTTAAAAGTAGAATAATATACTTGGATTAAATTTTTACATTTATTAGTATTATTTCTAACCTGAATTTTTCTAAAAATGGCTTGTGACCAATGAAAACAACAACCAACCATTGTAACATCTGGCCATGTATCTCTGATACTTTTCCAAATGGCCTTCTCATAGTCCAAAACAATTTTTTGAACAGAGATGTGACCAGTTAATTCATTTACAGCCTAAATACACAAACTATCATTGATTTAAGTATTTAAAAGTATAACTTACCTTGAAAAGTAATTTATAAGCTTTTTTCTTTTTTGAAGTTAAGAATGAAAAAAGCAATGGCACCTGCTTCAACTCTCCATTTTTCCTTAAGAATCCATGGATTGAGAACATTTGGAGAAATGGACCCTTGGCAATTTTAAAAGTACCATCCACATACCATATTTTAGCCTTACACAAAAGTTTTAACTGATGGTCAGTTGCAAATACAAATTCTTTGATTATTTAAATAAATATCTTTCTTTAGAAACCCCAATGGTATAAAAGTCAAATCAAGTTGAAAGTTGACATCATCAGGCTCAGCTGGTCTATTTTTTCGCCTGTTATAGTTGGCTACTTCTTTGCAGTTGTGTAAATTCCCATATGGATATTTTAAAAGAGTGTCTTCTGCAATCCTTTTTCCAGATGATTTATTATCACTAAGGCACTTCTCTTTGATATCTTTTCTAATTATAATCTGCTTTTCTGCATTTTTCAATTGTGAATGATTATGTTTCATTTTACCAATTACAAAATCACTTCCTTTTTGGTTAATACTTGCAGAACATTTTATGTTTTTGTTACAAACTGAGCAAGTTCAAATTGTAGCTGTTTTTCTTTTCATTTTTGTGTTAAAAGTATATCCTTTGTGGATGAGAAGATCTTTTCCTTTCTGACTGCCATTTTGTAAAATTTTGAAATGTAAATCATCAGTGCAATTATCTCTTTGACTAGTATGACTTTCAAATGAATCCTCTTGAAAATCTTGAACTTCTGTAGTTGATGTATCCATTGTGGTTACTTCAATTTCATTGTTGTATGTAATTTCATTATCATTAATCACATTTCCAGTTTCCAATGGACAGTCAACAAAACTCTCTGAACTACTAAAAGAGAAAGACAACCTCAGCTCTTCTGTAGGTTCAATGAATTTCTTTTCTTTTTCATTATCAATTCTTGTTAGCAACACAATACAGTTTCTGTTTGATATTTGATAACACATCAAACATAATGGCGAAGTGCTGGTTGCATCTGAAAAAAAAATTAATAACTGACAAAATCAAACTTTGGATATTTCATACCTTTAAAACACTTAATATGACAGTTTTTAAAGTAAAGATAACATTTGCCTTTGATTTGGTTTTCAATGAATTCATCTTGACAAATATAACATGTATTATCCATGTTTTTAAACTTGGGATAGTTTTCTAGAAAACTTGGAAAATAATTTATATTAACAAAATACCAAAAATTAGCAATTATCTATAGTATATACATTATTCAATAAGAGAAATCAAACAGTCAATTTTATTGACAAATCAGAGTGTTCTTACTCTTGCATTCCATACCATTGTGGAATCTCTTGAAACTTTGGTGGAAGTTATTCAACTTTCATCAGAACTTAGATCTTAGTATCTAGTTCAATATTACAAAAACCTAATCAGAAGTAAAAAAAATATGCTGGCGTTTTAGAAATAGACACTATTTTCTAATCACAATAGATGAGTCATAAGACGCTGAGTTTATTGGAATTTTATGAATTTATTTTTTGATTTATTTAAGAGAAAACGATTTACAGACATTGAAATCAGAAATATAATCAGAAATGTTCAATTTTTAGTGAACTGTTATAGCCCTCTAGCAGATATTTTTAAAAGTGTTTTTAAACACTTATATGCCAAGAATAACACATATTATACTAATGAAAAAGGCTTTGTAGCTAAATAAAGATGATAAGTAATATTTCATTAATATAAAAGAATATCGCAAATTTCCATTGATTTAAACATTCTAAAATGTATAGATTGAGTTGCTGGACATTCGAATTTGCAGTTTGCAAATATTGAACAAATAAGTTTTTTACCAGTTTCTTTTTGTATGAATATTTCAATATAAGATTTGCAGGAGAATGTTAACTTTGTTAGAATTTCTCCAAATTCAAATTCTGTATTACTGTCCAATTGAATAGTATTCTCAATTGGAATTGAAATACAAGTTGCAATATTTTTGTCATTTAATGCTGTCAACTGGTCAGATTTTAAGCAAGTTGTATTTTTAGTCGTAAAGAGGTTAAAGGTCATAAATTGAAAAGTACATTTAAATTTTTCTAAAGTGTAACGTACTGCCTCATTAGTATTTCCTACATCAGCTGTGTGAATCTCAATTAGTGGCAAGCTATCTTCTTTAACGCTAAATTCTCCTTCCTCAGTTTGTTCACTACCCCCATTCACTCCAGTCATTGTACAAATTGATTGGGGATCACCATTATTATCACATACAGTTCGAACGAAGCATTTGCATATTCCATCTTGACCATCATTCAAGCTTGAAAAGAATGTTCCATCATAAAATAAAAGTTTTTGCCATATTAGACTAGCTCCTCGATTCTTGTAGGAAATTCTTTGAGAACAACTTAGCATTCCATTCTTAAATTCTTTGATATCATCATCATTAAAATTTCCATAGGTAATTCTATCAATGTGAATTTAGTTTCATATGTTTTTGATAATACCTTTTCAATTTCTCTACTGTTGCTCAACATTGCAATACCGTGTGTTGAATTTATTCTATTGCATACAACATTAGCTGTGTGCCCATTTAATCTTGGTTTTATTGAGTAGGATCCATCTTGTTCAGTTTTTGTCCATGCTTCCCGACATGAAATATAATCTTGAATTGGTGAAAAACTGGAAACTTTAATACAAAAAAATAAATTAAAAAAATTTCTATAGAAATTCATATTGACACTCTATAAACTGTTCAGCAGTAGCTAAATGCCAAAGGAAAAAAAACTCATCAATTTTTCAATTTTCCAACTTTAAAACTTTTTACCTAACAATTGAAAACACAAATATTTAAACAATTATGTCATTTTTATACTAATTATTCTTGTTTTTTTGAATAATTAAACATGGCCTCAGCTTTAATTATAAAACAGTTTATAAGAATTATTCTATTATTCTGTAATTTGAAAAAACAATTATTGGATTGGATTAGACTGGTTTTTTCTAGGTAGTATAGACTAACACCAGTTTTTCCCTATAATTCATTAGGTGATGTGTCATTCAGTATAACATAGATTTCATTATCACAAGTTTAATAAACATACAATTACCCCTATTCATATTTTTTGTGTAGCAGCCATTAAAAAGAGTGGAATTTTTACTCCTACACTTGGAAAATGTTCCAATGAGTAATCACCATTTCATATTACAACATTAATTAACAACTGGAATATCCCCATGGTTATGCTTTAAAGATCAATTTAAGTGAGCCGAAAAGCAATCTTAAAAAGTTGAGTTAAAAAGACATGAGTATATAGGCCTATAGGAAGATGTCCCATTTTGAAAGTCATATTCTATGTTTTGGGAAATGTATAAATGAATATGAATATATTTATTGAATGAAGTGCTTAAAACAGGGTCCAGGGCTGGGTTAGGAGTAGGGTAAAACCACAAAACTGTGGGCATTTTCTGCAACATCTTTTTTATCGGACAATCTTTCCATGGGACTATAAATGAGTACATTTTTCAGATCTACTCTTCATTTAAAGAACAACATGTTTTTAAAAAGTAAATGTTAATACATTATGAGGGTTAATATTTTATTGATACTCAATGTTGTGCACATAATTTTATAGTACATCAATCAATTGTGGCTATAACAGAGAAAAGAATCAAAAAGCAATAAATTGGAAAGACTAGTGAACTGTTTCTTCACAGAAAGGCAAACTGTCCACAAAGAGGGTTAAATCCTGCCCAGAAATAGTACATTAGTCTTTTGGGTCATTCAACACTTTTTTCTAATTCGATAGGCTGAATATAAATAAGAAAAAATACCAGATTCTTCAATTTTATAGAAGAAAAAAACAGCATTAGTAGTGTATTTTTTTTAGAAACAAAAGCTGTGTTTAACAATATAATGTTAAACAAACAATATTTCATTCATCTTGGTCTTTTAAAATTATAATGGCAGAAAAGCAACAAAAAAGAAAAAGAAGAATGATGGAAAATGTTCTCTATGTCATAAGAACTTTGAAAAATGAAAATCAAGTTCAGATGTCCTCTTTTCATGTCATGGAAAAGCTATTTAAAAGCATTTACCACCCTAATTTTACTAAACAATTATTTCATTTTCTATCATTGAAAAATTGATTGTCAATCCAATGCTAATTGGTTTTCTTTAAAGAGCAAGAATAGAAAGTGAGCTTAGCCACTCATGCTTTCTGGTGATCAAGATTTGAATGAAAGAGTGAGGATTTCTATACACTAGGGTTTGCCTATCAATGCCTAATCATTGTTTCGCAGTTGGGGAAATGTCTTTGTGTTCTTTTATGTAGATTTTAAGCTGTATTGATCTAGACAGAATGTGTTTGAATTAAAATACACTAATTTCTTTTCTAGGAGTTTTCCGAAAATAGACCAAATGAACTAGAAAAATGCCAAATGTCACGGTAATCATAAAAATCCATTAGATAAAATTCTTTATTATGTCCTCTAGAGAGTGATGGTGTTTCCTGTTTTATAGAAAATTACTAAATCATTTACATCAAGTCTATTACTTTATCAAAATATTTCTATTGGAAACTAACATGCCAATGTGATAATGTTCTGGTAAAATAAAATATGGATAGGACCCTACAACCTGATGCCAAAAAGAGCAAGTAGAACTATATGAATAATAGCTACTGCTAGCCAAAACTACAATTTATTCCAAAAAACACCAAAAATTCCAATAACTATCACATAGGACAGAATGCTGTAAGCTACACACGCTGGAATATTAATATTGGGATGACGAAACTGGTAAACTTTCAATATACAAAGCAAAGCCATTGTATACATGAATGTTGTATCTAGAAGGAAAAGAGAAGGGGAAGAAGAAGAAGATGAAGATGCTATCATTAAAATTTTAATTATTATTGTTTTATTAAAACAAACCAAATTGAAAGTTGTTATAATTTGGACAAATGTGATACAAAGCACTTAATACACCTTCCATAAAAAGAGAAACACCCATGGCATAAAATATACCAAAATGTTGTCGAATGCCATATTTCTTTTATATAAAAAAAAAAAACAAAAATAAATCATCATGAATATTCATCAACTCTCAACACAAACTATCATTTCTATGTTCTCTTCTTCTGATACAGAATTATCTTCTCTTTTCTGGTGGATAGTCTCTCTGGATGAGAGGAGGAGAATTAGAATATATACTTTATTCTAACCAAAATAATAAAGAGAATTCTTAAAATTACATATCCAATATTGCTGAAAATGTTAAAACCTAAAAGTGGACCTTATGCGCAAGAAAAATTATAATAGCATAGATCCTCGTTGCCAGTATCGTTGAAATAATGTTGATAATTGAATAATAATTGAAGAACCGGAAGTGAATAAAAAATACCAATAACAGTTAAATAGCATATATAATGTTTTTTGTCCTTTGATATTTCTTTAAAATCTTTCTTTGACAAATCAGCAACACTGAAACGACCCTGTTCAATAAAAGTAATAAAATATTTAGTTTTTTGGTGTTTTACCCTAACCCTAATCCATTAATCAACAAGTTCATTCCATTTTATAGTCTCTAATCCTAGAAATATTTCAAATCTTTCCCTGAACTGTGACCAACAGGAATGTTTTTTTAACCCTAACTTTTCTTGTAAAATTGTTTACTTCTCCATTCTCTACATTGATTTCAGGAGGGTTAATAGAGACATTTGACATTCATCTGATTATTTCAAAAAAAGAAAAACAAAAATATTAATACAAATCTCTGAAAAATATTATTTTTTTCTACTTGTTTCTGCATTTTCAGATTGTAGTGATAATCCATTTCTATCTATATTTTGTAAAGTATTTTAGTAATGATTTTTCACTCTTATAACCCAACAATTAACTTTTTTAACTTGCCAAAATTTTCATTAGTGAATGTTTTCATAAAACACTCTGACACTCTGACCTATTTAAAATCAACAATTTATTAAATTATTTCAAATTTTTGAATGTAACTATTTTTTTTTTACAATATTAGTTTTGAATAGAAAATGTGCCAAATTGCATAATAAATGATGCTGAAAGCCATGAGAAAACAAGTAAAAAAGACTATTGTTTTTGTATATTTGCTTCCTTTGAAAAAAAAAAAGAAATTGTTTTAATGGAGAAATGAAATAATTTAGATAATTTATTTACTTGGTAGAGCTCTGTCAATTGTAATATTGACAGATTTTTTGGCATACTTTCTTAAATATATTTTACTTGAACCTTTAAGGAAGTGTTCAATTTAAATGGAAAATACTTAAGCAATTAACAAAATGATAGTTCAATAACAGGTTGCCAAATTATCAAACTTTTGTAACAGGATGTTACAATGTCTAGCATTTAGGTTGGCTAATTGACTTTTAACTGGACCACACCTTAAGAGGGCCAATTAGATTATATATTGACCACATCTTACAGAGAGCTAGTTGAATTATAACACAGCCAAGTCTGCATGAGCACAACGAAAAATACAATTTAGACGGGTTAACACAGCACATCCGTATATATGTCTTTTCAAAGTCCACAACAATTTTTTGAGGCTATGTTCATTTGTTAAATACTGTATTGTCTGTTACTTTAAGTCATTAGATTACTAAAGTTGAGGTATGAAGTTAAGCTGCTGAAAAATGATTTTTGTGGATCCAAGCGCTTTTTTTAATCCTCAAGCGTTTTCTTTCGAAAGATTGTTGGTCTTTGACGATTTTTCTCATTGGTTATGAGTCAGTTGAGTCTATACCACAGATTATCTGAATTTTGGGTTTTGACCTAGTTTACAACCAGATTCAGCATCATCATTTTCAATAGTACCGGAAAGTTAAGCTTTGCTGTAAATGCTATCTGTATCAAAGCCATGGAATTCATGAGTTATGTTTGAATAAAAAGTATTGCTTGTATCACAATCAGTATCAGAATTAATAATTTCCAATCTGAGTTTTAACTATCTGAAACTTCAGATGGAGTGTAAGAGTCTTAAAGATATTGTCCTGTCATTGCAACAGTTACCTTGATTTGTTGACTTTGGCTATGTTGCATAGCTTTTTTGGCTGGGTTACCTCTTCTGCAATACAATGAAAGAGGAACCTGTTTGGTTTTAAAGTTGATATTAACTCCCACACTTAGTAGGCAATCACAACCAAGTATTATTGCTATATCCAATCTTTCCATCATGATAAATTTTTGTTCTGAAGTTCCTCCATCAAACTCAATTATGTGAAAAATTGCTGTTGTTTAAAAAACAAAAAAAAAAGAAAATTTTTGATGTATGGGATGAATATAAATTTGGTTAAATAACTATATTTGATCTACCTGCAAAAACAGCAAATATTTATTCTATTTAACAATATCTTAAAATTTTTTTTTACTGGTGTAAATGTAGTTAATGGTTACAATTTTCTAACTTGTTATTCATGTTGTTTTGAGCCAGTGATTTATCCTCTAAGTCAGAATTACAAAATACATTTAATACAAAAATATATCCAAAATTTATTAGCTAAGTAGGTTGTTACATTAGTAAAATTAGGCATATAAATCCTTCTTTTCATGTTTAAAAATCCATTGTATTATTAATTTTAGGCATTAAAAAAAATTATCATAAAAGCTATTTGCCTTTTTCTAAAAACAGAACAGGATAACAAATTACAAGATTAATTCTCAATGATTTCCTTGTATATATATTTAAAAGCACTTTCACTTCTCTGACAAACAATCTGTCAATATGAGTTTTAAACTAATAATCATATTTTCTATCTTCATTTTAAAACTTCTCCCACGAGATAGAATTTTTACATCTGGAGAAAAGTTTACAAGTTTGTTTCCTTTTGTTTGTATTTTTTAAATTTTTTTTTTTTTTGAATAGATGGAAAACTAATTAATGTTGCTGACAAAATGAATAATGCAACTTGTACATCTTCAAATGATTTTCCAAGCAATCCATCATATACTTTCTTTTGTGAAAATATAATGGATCCTATCTGGGTGAATTTTAACTATTGGGCTGCTAGCTGTAATTCTGGACCGTGTAATTTACAATGGATTAATATTACTTTTCAAAAACAATATGATATTGTAGAAGTCTGCTTATATCAGAGAACTCTTAAAGAAGAAAACAGAGTGAATACAGCAACTATTCAAATGAATAATCAAAATAAAACATATGTATTAAGTGATATACAAACTTGCTTTTTATTGGAAGAAGATTTTGGTTCAAAATCTTCCAGTATCCGTCTTAATACTGTAGAATGTAGGAACTTAGGAGGAGGAAGTACAGGATACAGTTCCATTTCCGCTCTGGCTTACAGCAATGGTTTGTTTTTTCTTATTTCCATTATTGTGTTGAATATATATTATCTGAATTGTAAAAACAAAAAAAATAGATCAGGATTCAATGGAAGACAAAGATTATGAAAATATCGCCCAAATGGAATCGGGAGCAACTTGTTCTAGTTCATCAGAACTTTCAATAAACAAGTGTGAATACTCATTAGATTGGGCGTTTAGTACAATTTGGAGAGCTGATTGTTCACCCATCTTTGACTGTGTTGGCCAATATATAAATGTAACATTCGCAAGAACGACAAAACCAGAAATATTTTGTTTGGCAAACATGTAAGAATAATAAAAAAAAAGTTGAAATTATAGACTTTTTAAACTCTGTTTCTTTTTTTCTTAAATTGTACAGAGATAATAATCACCGTATAAAAATATTGGAAATAAAATGGTCTTCACAATATACTGAAAATATAACTTTACCTAATAATGGACTTCGATATTATTTCAATTACGCTAATTATCCGAGTATTGAAAGTGGATTTATATTAACTATAAAAGATTATTATAGTGGAAATAATCTTGGACTTGCTACTATTCAAGTTTTTGCTAAAAGTAAAAAAAAATTTTTAATAAAAATTTTTTTTGTTTTTCATTTATTTTTTCTCTAGGAAATTTTAGCCGAGTTTATACAATTCAAACAGAAGATTACGTCATCTATTACATTCCAGAAAAATATCAAAATAATTTAAGAGCATTAACGTTTAAAGTTCAAGGTCAAAAACACCCAGACTTGAATAGTTGTTCATCACTTTTAATCAGTTTTAAAAATGAGTCATCAATACAATTCTCAATACAGATTGATATGAGTAATAATGTGGAAAATCTATTAATTCTAGTTCAAGGTGAAAGCTTGTCTGTTAACAAGTTCAAATTACCAAAATCATTGATTGAATGTGAAAAATGGAACGAATTTTGGTTTGAAATTTTGAATGGTAAAATTTATTTTGGTTCTGGAAATTTCTATGGAAGAAATACTTTGGCCATTGTAAAAGCCAATAATATAATAAATAATTTTACACAAATCATGTTAAAAAATAATGGAAGTGATGTCATCAATCATTTTCAAATTTTGGATTTAGGTTTGAGAAATATAATTTTTTAAATTTCTTTTTGATTTTTCTTACTTTAGATGGAAAAAAGATAACTACATCAAATTTGGAAAATTGCCAAAAAAGCTACAATGTCATCGACAAATTTTTAAACACTTGTACTAAATTAAAGAAAACATCAAATTTTATAAATCTAAACTTATTAAATAATGGAATTGAAAATGATAATTTAGAAATTATCTTTAAAAAAGATCAGAGAAATGTTGGAAATGCAACAGTAAATCTTTTTTATCCTTTTAAAGAAAATGATGGAGAATTTGATTTTTTTCATTCATGCCAATTAAAAAGTATCACTGATAATGATTTATTTCAAATTTATACATTTCAATGTCCAATTACGGATCATACTGTGAAAATGGAGGATTATCTTCTAATTTATATTTTTATCAATTCAATAGATATAGATAAGATTTCATTATGTGAAATTATTTAAATATTTAAAAAACATGAAATAAACAGAGAAATATAATTAAAAATAAATGAGTAGTTCACACTTAGAAATAATGACAAAGTGATATTTAGACTCTAAATGAAGAAAGTACTAGGAATAGTTTTATTTTGTAGAATTAGATTAATGGAACTTTAGAAAGAGTCCTATTACTTATGAAATATTTTCTTTAGCCATAGTTGAAGGAACCATTTTGGAATTGACAAAAGGAACAAAGAATATTGAAAAGATCATGCCCAAATTGTTAGGTAGTAAAAGGTATACAGTGCTGAATGAATCCTCATTGTGAACAGGTCAAATACAGTTGTAAGTGTGCACTTCAGTTCCTTATAAATGTCTTATTAAAGAGAAGTCACCCTGGGCAGAAGTTGCCCAGTGCAATTATTAAAAATAAATTCTGTAAAGATTAGTTAACTACATATTATATATACAGGATTAGTGCTGACAAGAGTTGTAAATATCAACTATATTAACCAAATGTTAACCAAAGTAATATCAACTAGTATGAGATTTTTCAAAAGGAAGAACATATTTTCAAGAGATACGGGTTATAATTGATTTTTACTTGTATTTCAATGTTGACTAAATCATCATTTATACTGGAGGAATGATCTTTTCATTAGCTTTGGCATCATAAAATATCAACAAGGGGCGATATCTGCATAGTAATTAGGAATTTTTTATTATATTCATATAGTATAGAGTTTTGATTGATTATGAAAACCATATTTGATAATTCAATTTAAAATAAGTGACTATAAAGGCTGTGGCTGTATATTAAATGACCTCTCTCTCTCTAACAGTTTAAGAAACAAGCTGAATCACATAAATGACTAAAAAACAGCAAATGACAATGAATCAGACAGTGATTTTTAAATATCTGTGGTTTTTTAGTCACTTAAAACACTCTTTTTTATTCCTAAAAGATTTTATATATATTTAAAAAGTATATATTTAAAATAATTTTTAATTTTCTAATCAATTAAATATGTTTAGTCCACAATACGAAAAGTCATGTCAAAATCTGTTCCATATTTACGATGTCTCAAATGAATCAGCAATTTTTAGGGCTTTTCTTTGGTGTGTTTTTTGCGAATTATGGAGAAAACGTCCACTGGAGAAAACGTCCACTGGAGAAAACGTCCACTGATTGGAGAAAACGTCCACTGGTTGGAGAAAACGTCCACTGGAGAAAACGTCCACTATGTGAAGAATATATTAAAAAATACTTTTTCAAATTTAAATTTTTATTATTGATTTTGAGATATATCCAATACATTCCCATAATGCAATCACTTTTGGTAGCCATTTTGAAATCCAGACAGGAAACAGTTCTGGGATCTTCTATGTTTTTCATGGAAAGTGAATATTGTGCATATTTCATCTACAATTTTTCAGAATTTTTTGCAGTTTGAAATATATTTCACTATTGAAAACCATCAGACAAAACACAAACTTTAGAATTGATATCAGTAAGTTATAGAATATTGTGTTGAAATGATTTATTTATAAATTAGCTTTATTTTTATAGCAGCCATTTTGTTTATCATTATTGTTAATTGTTTAATTTTTAAATTTATACAGTTGGTTATTGATAGAGATTCCAAATTGAACATGGCACCAATTTGTTACATTTGTGAAGAGAGAATATATGGAAGACAAAATCAAGAGAAATGTCAGCTTTGCTGTCATTTATTTAAAATACATAAAAAATGTTTGGATTATAAAGGTTTGTTTAAGTTTTTTGTCACTATCCTTCCTTACAAATATGTTTTTATATTTTTTCACAGATCAATCATTTTATTGTAACATTTGCTGTGACATATCAATGAAGAAATGCATTGTTGCACTTCAAAGGCTACCTTCTAGTGCATCTGCTAATGAAGAAATAAGACAAACACCAAATTTTGATACAGCAAATAATAGAAATGAGCAAACTATTGTTTGTGAAAATCATTGTGGAAATTCAAGTGGAAATGATACAAATGGCAGTATTATGGAATCACACAATGTTTTAGTTGAAGATCTTCCAGCTCAGCAAAATAATATGATGGAAGTTTCATTTATAGTTTCTCCAAAATCAGATTGTGAGAAAGAAAGTTATTCATTTAAAATCTTAAAGGGAATGAGCCAGAAAGGAAAAGATTTGCTACTTTTCAACAATTTCTGCTACAATATTAAAGAAAAAAGAAACAAGACAACATTCTGGATATGCAGTGTTAGGAACAAAAGAAACAAATGTTCAGCAACAGTTAGTCAGCATGGGAACAGTTTTTATCCTGGAAAGTTATCCCATTCTCATGAAAGAGTACCTGATTTGGAACAAAAAATAATGATTAGGAATGAACTAAAAAATGCTTGTAATAAAGATATCAGTAGTTCAGGAAAACGTTTAGCTGAAGATGTTCTGGTGAAACATTGTAGTTCTGGTGAAGTTATTCCATCTCTAGATAATTGTACAAGACTGGCAAACTGGACAAGAAAGAAGTTTAGACCAGCTGAACCTCAAAGTATTCACTTCAACTTGGCTAAAACTTTTATTCCTGATGATTTTTTACAAATGGATATACAAATGGAGAATGATAGAATACTAATATTTTCAACTACAAAGCAAATTGAATTATTATCTAAAGGCAAAATATGGTTTATGGATGGCACATTTAAATGTGTGAAAGACCCTTTTTATCAACTTTTTTCTATTCATGGATTTATAAAAAAAAATGGAGAAATAAAACAAATTCCAATGGCTTTTGCTTTTATGGGATCTAAGAGAAAGACAGCCTACAAGAAATTATTTAAGGTACAATAATTTTGCATTTTAAATTGAATAATCTAATTTGTTAAATTAACAGGCAATACAAGATTTAACAAATGGGCATAGCCCCAAAAAAGTTGTTGTAGACTTTGAAAAAGCTATTTGGAAAGCACTATCATTCACTTATCCTGAAGCAAACATTAAAGGGTGTGTTTTTCACTGGACACAGGCAATATACAGAAAGATTCAAGTAATACTTTAATTTAGTATTTGAGGTCTAGATAGAACTGACATATTTATTTCCAGGAATTAGGATTATGTAAGATGTACAAGGAGAAAAAAGCTGAATATAGAATCATGAAGAAATTAATGGCATTACCATTCCTGCCCTCTGATCTGATAGAACCAACATTTAAGACTATTAAAGAAATAAGTCCTATTGAAATGAAGTCTCTATTGGAGTACATTGAGACACAATGGATAAATGGATTTTATAAACCAGAGGTATGGTCTGTTTATGGTGAGGCTATAAGGACAAATAATGATCTTGAAGGATGGCATCACAGGCTTAACAAGAATCTTTGCTCTAACACTGCATTCTATTTGCTTTTAGATGAACTGAAAAGAGAGGCTGATCTGATAAAGCTATATAAAAAATTACTGAGTGAAAAGAAAATTTGTAGACAGCAAAGAAAAGCATATCAGAATATTCAGAGCAAAATATTCAGCTTATGGGAACAATTTGAAATTGCCTCAATTACCTCCCTGGACTTACTTGATAAAGCTTCTGACATTTATTCACCAGTTTAAAATACCTTTATTCTTTAATGTTGTTACACTGTTGTCAATCATTCTTGTTATATTGCTTGTTTTTACTTAATCAATATATTAATATTTAAATATTTGTAATTCTTATTATTCATTTTTTCCTGTCAAATTGCTCTAAAAACTCCATCTATCAAATATCTTATATCTTACTTTGAAGTTTTATAATGGACGTTTTCTCCAGTGGACGTTTTCTCCAGTGGACGTTTTCTCCTGTACCCGTTTTTTGCTCTCTTTTACTCTTTTCGTTTCAGTAAGCGTGTTTTTCTATCGGACACCTTCAACATGGATAAAAAAGGGTATATACAATTCAATTCTATTTTTATGATCTTTTAATATCTTGACTCTCCCTCTTATAGAAATATCCAGGAGTACCATGAATTGCTCTTAGAAATTAGGTGCAAAATTTGCCTAGATGCCATAGCAAACTGCTTACTTTTACCATGTAGTCATTTAATAGCTTGCAAATCATGTATAGTAAAACTCAAGCAGCAGTGTCCAGTTTGCAGAGAGTGTATCAGAGGCTACGTTGTCATAAAGTCGGATTTGGATAATCTTTAAAAAGGTTATCCCTTCACCAATTGAGAGTTTGCAGAGAGTGTATCAGGGGCTATGTTATCATCAAATCAGATTTGGATAATCTTTAAAAAGGTTATCCCTTTTTGTGTTTTTACCTTGCTATCATGTAATGTCTTGCAAAGCCAGTATAGTGAAACTCAAGAAGCAATGGTGTCTAGTTTGCAGAGGATTTGTCAGAGCCTTCTCTGTCATATGAATGTCACTAATCCTAATTGCAAGAGACAAGATTTCATATATCAACTAGGCAACATGTTAATGAATTCTATAAGAAAACATTGATCATTCTCCTAGGAGAAAGAGAATAATAGACATATTGTTTGGACAACATATTTTTCTTCTGATTAATATATATATGCAAATTTTGGCAAAGATTGAATGCATTCTAAATTATCAGAGCAAGAGCAAACTATATTAAAATATATTCTTTTTTCTATAAAGTTGATTACTGAAATAGATATATTATAACCTTGAACTGTGATATATAATAATAATTTGAATAGCATAATGAAGAAATTATATTAAATATAAAGAGAATATTCAAAAAAATTCTTAAAGATAACTTTTCACTGATCTTTTGAAAAACAAAACAAAAATCTTTGATATTAAACTTTTAAAAATAATTGTGCACTTAGAAATAATAATGTAATGATATTTAGACTTTAGATATTATAGAACTTTAGAAAGGCTTTTATTTTGTAGGAAATATTTGTTATATTGCTGAAGATATTTTATTAAAATGTTCAGCTGAGGAGAATAGTTTGCCAAATATGGAAAATTTGAGAAGATTAGCCATATTCATCAGACAGAAGAAAAGACCTATAATATCAAATGATCAAATGCTTTTAGAATTTGGGATATGCAACTGAATATAAAACTAGTCTGGCCTCTAAAAATATGATGAGAAATTTATTGGAAAATCCTTTTCTTCCTTCTGAAGTAATACCCCATATTTTTTCTTTATGTATATAAAGATTTGTATGAATATATGGAAAATACCTGGATTAGAAATTCTATTTGGACACCAGAAAGCTGGTCTGTTTTTGGTATGAGCATTTGCACAAATAATGACGTTGAAGCATGGCACAGGAGATTTAATGAAAAACCTTTGCCTAATACTTGCTTCTAATTATTAGTTGATTGTTTGAGGCATGAAGCTTCTTTGATTCCAGATTTTCAAAAACTTCTAACTGAAAAAAAATTAAGAAAATATGAAAGGCAAATGACAAAAACAAAACAGAAGAAAATTTTTGATATATGGAATGAATATAAAGGTTAGTTTTAGATACATTTAAATATTCATTGGTTTCTTTTATCTCAGGAGTTGCTGAGGTTTTCTTTTGCTCTCTTTTAACTTTGATAGTTATCTCATCCACCAACTCTTTGCATTGAGTTTCTATTTCCATTTCATCATCTAATTCTTCTGATGCACTTTCAATCTCTTCTTCATATGAATTTATAATGATTCCTGAATCACTATCTGAATAGGTTTTACAGCCAACATCTTCTTCAGTTGAGTTTNCTATTTTGGTTCAAGTAATTAGAAAAATGGGTAGCAAACAGTCCCAACCTCAATATTAATTATGAAGTCTGGAGCGTTGCAAAAACAAACAGTGTTGAACCACCTCAGAAATAAAAGGGATGTGTTTGATATTGAATTATGCAAAATTCAGTATTTAAACCTTCTTCTAGATGGAAGGTTGACATTAGTAATATAAGCCAATGGTAGACTTTAACATTAATTAAACCCATTAAACATAGGCATCCTATCTATTAACAAAGACTTTCGGTCAGGCTATGCATTTGAGGCTCTCAAACACATACTATCTGTAACAACGAAATATATTTTTACATCAAAAACATAGACTTTTAAATTAGTATGTAAAAACTCTAGAAATCTATCATTGTTGTTTTAAAGGTGCTAAATGAACTTTTAAAATAATCAATAATTGTCAAGGTTTTTTCCAGACAAAAGAAACAAGTGTTGTGTTTATAGTTTTATTGCATTTAGTTTTTCTTATAAAGAATAAATATTTTTTTCTTTAATAGAAATTTCAAGGGGATGATTTCTTATAATTTCCCTACAACTAGGTTTTCTAAGCAAATGTATAGGTATTTAACCCAGGTAGGTTCACACCCAAAGCCAAAATTTTATTGTCTAATTCCTAACCTCTTACTATGAAGTTATCAAAATAAATTTTCTATACGATTTAAACTCCATACCAAAAGAATTATTTAAATTTATTAGACTGAAAATATTAGCTATAATTAGTAAGTACATAATAATATAAAATATTTTAAATTTAGATGATTATTGAAAAGGTAAGCAATTATTCAAAATGACTGTAAAATTTTTTACTAAATAAATTGGACTTTTTCGTGAATAAAGATAAGTAAAAATTAAAGATAAATGTACCACCCAGATATCAAACCTTTTAAATAAAGAAATAAATTAAATATCTCATTATCAATTGAAAAATTATCTTTTCAGGGGTATGGAATACGAGAATTTCAATGTCATTTTGGATTATCACTTTTAGTGAAAATGTTTTTGGCAGTCACCACATTTTATCCTATTTTGTCTGCCTTAAAATCGATTATCGCAATTTGGATAGAGAGTAGCCATCTTGGAATTTAACATTTCACTGAAAAAAAATATTTTACACCCTATATTGGACATAAATCAATATTATATAATATGTAACATTAACATTATACTCACAATATTTTGTCTCTAATAGACTCAGAACTTTTGTAAGAAACTTCAAAATTTTAAATTTTAGATTCTGCTTTAATGTTTTGTAAACAGGAAGTAGGTAACTACTTTCTCTCTCACGAATTACACTTCATAATACAGAATTAAATATGAACCAGTTTTCCCAAAAAAAGGAAAATTTTTCGTAAGGATGAGTTTTCTCTGATTCAAATACATTAGCATAAAACAGGATTCTTCATGTCTTTTAAAAAGCAAAAAAGTCAAATTATTTATTTATTGATTTAGTCCTCCATTACAGAACGCTTTTCACTTTGTTCTTCACTTATATTACAATATCTTGAACTCTTTAAAGTGTTTCTTGACTGTTCCAGTCATTCACAAATATTTTTGTTTATATATATAAATTGTACTAACGCAATTCAAGAATCTTTAAAGTCTTCGAGGTTACAAAACACATCATAAAATCCATTTCCCATGTTGTTATTGCCACTTAATATTTCCATTTTAGAACGGTTATTAAAAATATTTTTTATCTTTTTAAGAGGAAAGATTGTAACTTAACTTGACATTGGCTGTTTTCATGCTATAATTTGATATTTTAAGACTGTATGTTACTAGAACCCTGAAATTCTTTACTCAACCAATATCACCTAGTGGCCAATTTGAAATATCGGTCTTATGTAATATGTTCTTATTAACTAAAAATTATGTCTTTCAATTGTAGAATATGGTTAAGAGCTTTCAGATCAGTAAATAGAAATTTAATTTTAAGTTTAGGATAAGAGTTTTTTTCTTTTATGTCACAAATGATTTTAAATATAAATTTTGTGGTTTTAAGAGTAGTTTTTGGGGTTTAGACCTACTTTTTTAACTCGTTAAAATACTGCTAATATATGTTTGAAAAATGATTAAAAGGAACAAATCATCTATCGATTTATAGTTAAAGCGATCCCAACTAAGGACTATAGATAAAAGATTTGAATTGTTCATAAAGTATATTCATTTACTCAAGTGTTAATCAAAACAAGCAATATAGAAATAATTTCATATTAATAGTTCACAGAAATATTTTTCAAAAGCGTTGAGTGATAAATTAGTAATCAAAATAGTAACTCAGAGCTCTAAATTATATTATTATTTACAATTTAAAATATTTAAAAGAGATTGTCTTATGGGATTATTTTTGTGCAAAGGAATAAAAAATAATAGCATGAATATTTATAATTCAAATATTTGAATAGAATAGTTCACATTTGAAATCATTATTCATATTGATTTTATGTTTGAATAGAATTTTGAATAATATTTCTTTGTATAGATTTGTTGAGTTGTGTAGACACTTGAAAATTATTTTTGGTTTTAATACATCAAGTGATTGGCTCTGGCAAATTTTTCCATAAACTTTAAAAGTTTCGTTAATAATTTTAGAATTTGCATCAGTCAGTAAATCTTCACTTTTTGTTAATTCTTCTTTCTTAACAACTAGTGAACTGATTAAATTAATCTTCACTTCAGTACTATCTACAATTTCAAAATGTAGGAAAGATGAAAAGGATTTAGTGGGTATAAACAGGTAAATGAAATGTTGGAAATAATTATAGACAATTGAAATATGACTTTTTAAAATATTAAAAATTATTATTTGTCTTCCACCTAAAATAAAAAGTAGAAAAAACTCTTAAATTAAAATACTCAAATTGTACAAAAGTGCAAAACAATACCTTTATACTGAATATTAAGATTTTTAGTTGAACTTATATTTAAATTTCTTACTGCCATTTTAGTAACTTTAGGTAAAATTGCACTTGTTTCAAAAATAGCCAATTGCTTTCTATTCTGTTCAAAAATGCCAAATTTTACTTGAGTACTCGTTAGTTCAAACCAATAATGATTCCAGTCACTGCAGTTGATAAAATTTGACTGATTAAACAACATCAACCGAAGATGTGGCTGCAACAATATGAACACTGAAAGAATCTTTTCTTGAAGAATCACTCTGCACATGAAATTTGTTTTATTGTTTTCAAGATCAACTACAAAGCCGGAACATATTCCCACAACATCTCGGACTTTGAAACTTAAGAGAGAAAAATTTGATTGAATGTCATTTGATAATTGATAAATGAATGAAGAAGTCGTAAATTGAATACTGAATATATAGTTGTCATTTCCTGTTAATACAGAGAATGAAAAGATTTTTTAAAAATTTTAAATGTGACTTATTACGTAATGTATACACTTCAATTGGGCCTATAGCCACATTTTCTTTTGAGTAAACCTCCAAAATTTGTAGTTGAATCCAATGTGCAATAAATTTGTTACTGTAGTTAAAACATTTTGTATTCAAATCTGTAGGTAGGCTAATTTGATCAACTTCAACTCCTGAGCTCCATCTTACAGAGATATTTTACACTGTTACCTACTGCTAGTCTGTTTTATTGAAAAATAATTATTTAAAAAAAAAGAGAAGGCGGGAAGAAAGAAACCTATTGGAGATGCAATAAAAGTTTGGTTTGGTAGGATAAGCAAAGAATATTTTGATATTCTGCCCAGTACATGCGTCAATACATGCAGGTATCCAATCCTGAAGTAAATATTCATTTATAGATCCATAGCAAGACCCTCCTGGTGATGATGAACAAATTGCACCCAATGAAGTCTTTGCAACGTTTTCATAAATTATATCATTGCTGGTGGCATCAACTAGATAAAATGACATAAGATATTTTAGGTAATGTAATAAGAAAGGAATAAACTGACAATTACCGTCATTGGCATAAACAGAAATACTTTGAAACCCTATATAATGGACTTGTTCAGATAATCCTATTGTTTCTATATACATGTAATCAGTGGCTAATATACTTTGTTGTTTTTCCATTAAAAAGCATGTTTCATAGACATTTATATCATAAGTGTAATTCATATTGGATCCAAAATTAATTAATACTCTATTCATTCTTCTGATATTCTCGCCATATCTTTGGTCTAGACAATAATAGACTATTTCGTATTTTTTCCTAAATTCTACTTGATACCATTGATGCAAGCAATTTGACAACACACAATTCGCAGCCCATTCGTGATTACTAAACCAAGTTGGTTCAAGTGCATGTTCACATGCGTAAGTATAATGACCAAAGGCGCCCTTAAAGAAAGATGATACTTTACACTTGGCCGAATATTTTTTATTAGCAATATTCAATAATTTTCCACTGTCTATATTTAAAAAAATGTCTTTTGTTTATTTTAGAGAAGAAATCCTTTGAGGAATTAAGATTAGGAATAGGCTTACCTGTAAAAGATCCATTGATAGAGCATATATAAATGAACATGAAGAACTTAACTGAGAGCATTCCGCTTAAAAATAGTGCCTTCACCAAGTAGAGAAGACACAATGGAGTAAAATTATTATACAAAAGCTGCTAAAATATTTAAGAATATATTGTATACATACCAATAAGAGAGCAATTGTCCAATACTTCAATCTCAAAAATAAGATATAAATGATTCCATAATAAGAATACAAGTGGCCATTACTTAAAAGTGTTGCCTAAAATACTACGAACAACAGAACAACTGATCACTTTTTAATCAGTGTAAATTTTTGTTAGCCTTGTATTATCTACTTTCTTTTAATCCTATGCTCTTTCTAAAATATATGAAGTACATCATTAATTATGTGGTTATTAAAAACTATACAACAATAAATAATCAACATAAATACAAATTGATGTTTATTTTTGTTGGTTACTCATCTACTAGTTTTTTCTGGAGTTAAATATATTGTTATATAGCCTTAGTGGTATTACTGACCAAATAATCTAATAGGTTATATTTAAAAGAAAAGGCGGTCGACGAGCCCGATGAATGGTCTTGGCTATGTGCCAAGTTTTATCCCCTATACGTTATGTTATTTTTACTTTTAAATATGTTAGTTAAGTTAAGACAATATCACTTTTTCTGTCATTCATCAACAACAGATCTATCTTTAATTATTATTTAACATTACTAGTATAAACAAAAGTCTTTCTAACATTTTAAATATTTGCAATAAAGTTATCAAGTGTTTTTGGGTATAGAGCATCAATAACATTGAGTAGCCAACAGTCTATTTTTCCTCTTGAAATGATTTGGCTTGAAAAAACATTCTCATTTATTTTCAGTGCAGTTCTCTTTGAGTTTGAGTAGATTGGAAAAATTGACATGATTGATTCCTTGCCAAGCCCAAAAGTCCACCAGGTGACTTATATCTGTTGTTATCATTGATAAAAACATCCGGATAAACACCCACCATAGAATTCATTGATTTCTTTACAAGGAAACTATGTTCTTTCAGAGTGTTCTCATTTCTTGAGATTGTAAAATATAATAAATTATTTTGGGACCGGTCCAAAACGACCATAAATAAAATATTTGAAGTTTAGATTTCAAGCTGGGAAATGGTTAGGAGGGATAAGTATTGATATGTACTTAGGTGGGTCCCATCTAAGGGTTAGGGGTATTGAAAAAGGTTAATCAAAAGCAAGGGCTGGGTTAGGGTTAGGGTAAAACAATAGATTTATGGCCTTTTTCTACCACATCCAATTATTTTGAATACTTTAAGTAATATCTTTATGCTTTACATGAAATTTAAATAATTCATCATTCCATTCACCAAAATTTGTGCCTCGCCAAAAAATTGTTTAGATCTAACTTGAAAATGTTGACTATCAATATGAAATTGCATTTCATGCATATAGTAATCATCCTGCAACAAATATAGTAATATTTTCTTGTTTATTATGGAAAATCTCGATTCTGTAACTTTTACTAGAAGTGACATCAAAACATATGTTTATTTAGGCCGTTATCATTTTCATCTGGAACAAGTAGTATAAAGTGAATGTCACCATTTCCACTAGTTGGATCAGTAACTCGTATATAAAAAGTTTTAGCGCTTTCTTTAGAGCAATCAAGTCGTCGAACATTAATAGTTTCTATGCCCTCTGTTTGATCATCAGATACAATGGATACAGTTGCGGTTTTCACTTCATTAGGACCCAAAAAAAATGGGTTTGCTCCAACAGGAGAATAATCAGGATTAGATGATGTCATCCTTCAAGATAAAAGTTAATTTTAATATTGTAATTGTATTGAAAAAGATATTGTGAGCACCTCTAGAAATCACTTGTTTGATATATTTTTACTTGATGAATCTTTTGGTTCTGATTCATCTTCCATAAAAATTCAACCAAAAGAGTATGGACCATTGGGCAAAAATCTTGGATTTAATACAATTGTAGTCATTGCATACGGTTAATTTTTTTTTCTGCTTAAATATTTTATGACATTATCAAAGTTAAAAAGTTATGATTGTTTACAATTATAGATGTAGATAAGTCATCCTCTAAATATGAAGAGTACGATAATGTTGCTGAACTGGAATCGGGTGCAACTTGCAATCATTCATCTTCTCTTCCCGGCAAAGAATGCCAGAGGGCAATTGATTGGAATTTATCTGAAAGTTGGAATGCAATTTGCACTGGTGGTGTATCGTGTACTGATCAATACATCACTATCAATTTTATAAGACCAATAATACCATACTTAGTAACTGTAGCTAAAAAGTTTGAATTGCTTAAATATTCATATCAAAACAATATTTCAAATATTCACTCACCCACCCTCTTTCTTTTCTCTTTACAGATTTGGTCATTTCTATATAAAGGATTTGGAAGTTCATTGGTCATCTGGCCATATTCAATTAGAACGTTTACAAGCAATACTCTATACCCAAAGTATTTATCATTCAAATGAAATTAGCATTGAAACTGGATTCAAATTAACAATTAAAAGCTCATATAGTGGAGATAATCTTGGATTTAGAAATATTTTCGTATTTTCAAAAAGTAAATACAACATAATTTCCCAATTAAAAAAATTGAACATTGATATATTTTGTCAGGAAATACTGAACATGTTTATTCAATTCAAGAAATTTCTCCTGTTATCTATTATATTCCAGGAGAATATCAAAATAATTTTAGAACTTTAAAATTCAAAGTTTATGCCCAGGGAAAATCAAATCAAACTGAAAATTGTTCATCTATTATAATTGGTTTTAAAGATAATAATGCAAAGCAATTTCAAATTCATATGAATGTTATAGAAGATAATGAAAATTATCTTATGTTTACAATCTTTAAACCAACAGAAAGAATTGAAAAATTTCATTTAAAAAGTTCATTAGTAAAATGTAATAAGTGGAGTGAATTTTGGTTGGAAATTTTTTCAGAAAAAGTGTGTTTTGGATCTGGTAAAGGATATGGTATTGATACTTTAGCTGAAGTCAGTTTAAACACATCAGACATCTTCAAAGAGATTCTATTAAGTAACTCTGAGACAGATGTCATCAATCAGTTTCAAATTACTGACATAGGTATAATAGATTGTTTATAGGGGTCAAAGTAAAGTCCGACTGTAAACTCTAATATCAAGGTTGTCTTAGTCTGACCCCTAAATATACAATAACATAACATTAACTCCTAATCATATTTTTCTTTTTCCTTCTTCATTAAGATGGCTCAAAAATATTCCCATTTGGTAAACAACAATGCTTTTCTGGCGAATACTACTCAATTATCGACAGATCGTATGATACCTGCTTAAAAATTCAAAATGAATATACAGTACTTGACCTAATTAGTGAAAATGGTAAATTTGAAACTAAGATCCTTCAACCATTAGTTGTATTTAAAAAATATAATGAAAATATTAAAAACGTTGTTGTAGACCTTTTTTTTACACTTAAAACTCCAACAAATGTTAAAATTGTAAGATTTCATAAATTACAAAAAATATATCAACAGAAATCTTATATTATTTTGAAACCTGCAAAGAAATTTTCACCTATAAATGGTTTGACAACTTCTAAAATTTCAATTCATATTACTATTAATAAAGTAGATATAGATGATATAGCATTATGTGAAATTTTTTAATAATATATACAATTTAACAATTATTGGTGTTTTTGTTTCTTTGTTTTCAAATGTGAAAATGTTTAAAATTGAGTAGTTTTTGTGTAGTTTTCTTCAAAAGCATATAGAATGTCACCACTTTCAAATAATTTGTTCAATTTACTGAACAAAACAATGCATACCTGCTATGTTGTGTGTCAGTGTGTTTCATGTCAGTATAAATGTGTGCAAAAGAAAATGAGTGAGTGTTCATCTTGTCATGAGGATGGGTGACCTGACGTAACGTTCTCGAGCATCAGTTTGACTTTATATCAAGTAATCGCAAATGTGACACCATTAACGTGGACGAGTTGTATCAGGAACTCAGTAAAAGGATATGATGAACATTAAGGAAAGTATAAAAAGGAGAAAATGCAAAAGTATATTGTGAAAGAAGAAAATGAAATTGAAACGAATTTACTAATTTATAAATATTGCATGTTAAAAATCTTTTGGAATAAAAAATCTTGTTTTAATCGATTTTAAAAAAGAAAGATAAAAAAGATAATATCTATGGAGTTTTTAAGTGAGAGGGCTGGGGGAAACAACCATTTACTCCAAAAGATAATAGATAGATATAATTATTAGTTGAAAATGTTTCAACTTGAACTGATTTACTTTATCTTCTCTTCCTAATTTCTTGTGTAGTTTTTACCAATAAAATGCATTGGTGTTTTTGGGCAACAATATCTTGGAGTGACACTAACCAACATTTATGATTATTCCTACCCTTTAATTCAGCTTTTACCAATAAATTATTTATGTAGATTACTACTATATTATCATTTTGAATTGGATATTCAAAAGTTAGATGTTTATTTCCAATAAATCCAATTAGACCACCAAATCTAACATTATTAAGAATTTGATTACCAAAGTTAACATTTAAATATTTGGCAATAACGGGATTAAATGATCTTGTAATTTGTATTGAAATTTCCTTATCTTCTTTTCTAACAATAAGGCTAATCTGATTGTTATAAATGGAGAATTTAAGATTATCATAATTATTTACATAATTGAAATTCTTCCATTGAAAAGTTCCGACATTATTTATTAAAATTGAACCATTTTCAACAAAACTTTTCTTTCCAGAGTGATGTATAACTATCTTGTGCATACATTATTCATCAAGAAGGACACCTTCAATAATTGTGTTTGTAAATTTGTCCTCTAAGATATAAATTTTGTCGCCAGATTGTCCAGTAACGTCGTAACAAATCGATTGTCGTTCTTTTGTTGTTGAATCGGTAACAGTTTGTATAAAATGAGGATCGCCGCTAGCTCCTACAGTACCGGCGGTAAGTCACTGTTACACCTCAAAAAAATAATATTTTCTTGATTTTTTCTCTTCCCGCGCCTAAAGAATGAAAATGAAGGATATTATTATATTTAATAATATTCTTCTTATCATTATAGAAAGAAAATATATGTTTTTAATTTAAAATCTCAGAAATATGATCACTTTAATGTGATAGGCCTATTTATGGAAAAGCACAAGCATCAGTTATGTTCAAAAAATTTACCCTGATCATTGAGTAGTGTCACTTTTAACCAGATTTTAAGGTCATTTATGTGTTTGCTCATGTGTAATCTAACAGTTGACAAATTTAAAATAAAAATGGTGAAGCTATCTGAAGCAACAAGAATTTCTATCTTAAATTGTCTTCAAAGACCAGAAATGTCCATTCAAAAAGTGGCAAAGCTTTTTAAATGTAGTCCAACTACTGTACAAAATATAAAAAATAAATTTAAAGAGCTAAAAATGATAAAAGATAAGCAAAGAAGTGGTAGACCAAAAAAAGTGACACCAAAGATGGAAAGGCAAATTACCAGGGCATCTAAATCAAACCCCAAGTGGACGGCCCATCAGGTATTATATAATTCTGGTATACCAATATCTCTTTCTCTAACAACAGTGAAGCAGGTACTACGAAAAAATAACTTAAATGGGAGAATTGCAGCCAAAAATCCTGCTTTATCTAAGAGGCAGATAATAAGTAGGAAAGAGTTCTGTAGAGAGAGAGAAAACTGGGGGATTGAAAATTGGAAAAAAGTAATTTTTTCTGATGAATCAAAGGTTGAGCTGCATCCTAGGAGAAGGGAGTTTGTTAGAAGGCCACCAGGTAAACGGAATGACCCCAAATATACCACAAAAACAGTAAAATTTGGGGGAGGGATTATAATGGTGTTTGGCTACATAAAGTTCAATGGAGATAGGGGCCTAGCTTTAGTGTCTAATCACATGACAGCTTCGGATTATGTCAAAATTTTGAGCAGTCATGTTGTCCCAAATTATAGGAGAGGGGAAATTTTCCAGCAGGATGGGGCTAGCTGTCATACAGCAGCCAGAACAAAAGTGTACCTCGAGAGAAAGGGAGTAGAAACACTGGATCCATGGCCAGCAAACAGCCCAGACCTGAACATAATTGAGCAAATATGGGGCATATGCAAAAAACATTTAATGGCACATAAGCCAAGAAACAAGGATGAGCTGTGGGAGATGTTCAGAGAGGAATTTTATAAAATTTCAGAATTGGAAATTCAATTCTTATATGAGACAATGGAAAGAAGGCTTAGGGCAGTTGTAGAAGCTAAGGGTATGCACACAAAATATTAAGGCATTAAAAAATATAATATCCTGTAAATAACAGTCAAAATAAGAACAAAAAAATACTTTTAATATTCTTTTAGAGTAATTTTTGTGATTGTAAAAAGTACTTATGCTCCCATTGAAAATAGGCCTACCACATTAAAATATCAATAATTCAGAGATTTGAAATGAAAAACGTATATTTTCTCTCTATAATGATAAGAAGAATATTACTAAATATAATAATATCCTTCATTTTCATTCTTTAGGCGCGGAAAGAGAAAAAATCAAGAAAATATTATTTTTTTGAGGTGTAACAGTGACTTACCGCCGGCACTGTATATATAAATGACGATGCTATATTATAAAGGTTAACCTTTGTTTAGTAAACAAACCTTGGTCATTGCAAGTATTTTCAAATGTAGGCGTTCCGATATCACTTACAATCTTCCATGACTCTGGAGACTTAACAACATATCGGCATCTCTCAGCAACCATTCAAGAACCAATTACTAAATGTTTTTCAAACCAGGGAGACTGATTAGTCAAACTTGTACAAGGAGCTTCTGCAGCAAAGTAGATTATGTCAATCTCGGCTGAATTTCAGTGAGTATCTGAAAGATTTCAAATGTTAGTTCCTTCTTCAAAATAAAGAAAGACAAGACTTACTATCAATCAATACCAGTTTTCCTGGTATTGTAATGTCTATGTCCAAGGGAAGTGAATCTGTTTGTCTCCTTTTCCTATTTGAATTTACAGTAAAGCTAAAAACTATGATCGCATTTTCATTAATTTGCCCCAATAGAGTAGCTGTTCTGAATGATATATTACCAATATTCTTGAAATAACTTATACTGAAACTTCCCAAATTCATTTCTTCTTGTGCATAGTTTTTTACTTCTATCTATGATTTTCCAGGCTTATTTCATTGAAGTAAACACTGTATTTAATACAATTAAAAAGAGCAACCAAAAGACATATTTTCCAAACTGATATCATGTTCAGTTTGCTGTTTAAACTGGGTTATGAAAATTCCTCAAAACTTTGATATTTAAGGTAAAACTACTCTATAGAATGTTTATTCTTTTGTTTACAGTAAAAGTAAAGATTCTATAACTACAAGAAAGAGAAACGACCTACAAAATTGAATAAATAAATACTTTTAACAAAACTATTTCATAAGAAATAGATATTTATGCTGAAAAAACTTTTAGTATAAATTTTATGTCTTTTTTTTCTCTACTCATGGAAGGGTCACCCTCTGTGGAAGATATGTTCATTAGATGTTAATCAACAATTGCAATTGTAAAGGGAGTGAAAACGGATCCACGCCCCAAGAAAAATGACTATAGTTATTGCCTAGTTGTTGTCATTGACAGAAATTTAGGGGTTTTGCTCTCAAAACAGAAAATACAGTCTTTTTTCATATAGAATAATCAGCCTTCAGTTTTAAATAAACATAAAAGAATGGTAAATCATAAATGACGAAGCACTACTACATATCCTTGGTTGTATTGTCCTAATCTAAGTGCTATCTATCACTCACTTACGGAACATTCTAAGCACTTGTTCAAGTATATCTCCAAGGTCGAGATGATATGATTTATATAATCTGTAAATTTCAAAGCGCCGACAAAACAACTCTTTATACAGGTTTATATTATACACATTCATTTCATCTTTCAGGAAAAAAATAATATTTATCCTTGACCTTTTTCACATTTAGACTATTTTCAAATAAAATCATTAGTGTTAACTAGTTTTCTTCAACATTGAACTAATCAAAAGTATTAAGTAGAATATCAACATTTTAGTATAAAGAAATTACTAACCCTGAAATGACCACGTGATTGAATATTGTGGTGCTATTATATAGCTATACAGGATGATGAAGCTTAGAGCTCAATTCTAGTTTAATGCTACTTAGCTATATAGTGGGGCAAATCTGACTTATGAATATGTACAAGGTATATTTCAAATGCTATTGGTTAATGATTGGAAGAATCCATAACATAATATACATAATACTCATGCAATTTAGGTTGATATTTTATTATCAATTTTTAAATGAGATTTATGATAAATTTAGTAGTGTAAATATATAAATAGTTCTTTATAGTATGATTGAAAATTTGATAAATAAATCATTGAAAGTGATATACATTCAAAAGTATTACAATTGCAAAGATATTTGCATTCATCAGTCATATCTCTCTCTGTAAAATATCCATCATTTGAATCTAATAATTGACATTCATTAATAGTTTCTTGTCCATTTTTATCATAAAATGTTGTCATGAAATTAATAAATCTCTTTTGGCAATTATTCTCTAAATCTATTCCTTTTAAGACAATTTCAAAAATGGATAGTTTATATTTTGATATATCTGATGTATATATTATATTTCCATTACAATCTTTTGATTGAACATTACCAATATAGAAATAGTCTGTTTCGTTGTAAATAATTACATTTAATATTAGATTTTCATTGAGATTATAGCCAAAAACATCTAATTCACACATGATAAGGGTTCCGGAGTTGGCGACAATGATGGCTGATAAATAACGGCCTATTGTTGATTTTGGACATCTCATTGTTAAATAGGGTGGTAATTTTCCATCATAATAGCCACATACTGAAGGAAGTTGAGGTGTTGGGATAACGTTGTCTTTGGAAACGGCAATACGAAGATTTTTTAGTCTATCAGCATGCTGTCCTCTACCAATTATTGTTACAGCTAAAATTTGACTTGTTTCCGCTAAATCAACCTTCCACCATGGGTTATTTTGGGTAGCAGTATGAGCACATATTAAACCATTTCTCCCAAATACCCAATTAACTTCGCCATTGATCGCAACTGCATGATTTGGTGCACTTGGATGATTACTACTTCCAGTTGCTTGTTTATTTTTAGCAATATTTGGCAAACTCCATATTTCAATTTGACATAGATTTAATACGTCATTAACCTTTCTATAAAAAATAACTGTACTCGCAAAATGAGGTTTGTCAGCGTAATTCATTGTCTTTGAACGAGAGTGACCAACTGCAGTATTAAGGGAAAAAAAATGTTTTGAATTGCTTGACGTCAATTGTCGAAATATCTCTTGACAATTTCGTTCCAACAATTAAATTATTCAATTTTTCTGGTGATGTTGACCTATTTAAAATTCTTATTGTTCTAATAATATAGGATCTTTCAAATTGAATAAGAAACCATGGTGTATCTTGAATTTGAGTATGACTACAACTTGTACTATGCATATTAGTTTCAAATCTCCCATTAACAGCCAAATAATCAAAGCTTGTAGTTAGTATTGAAGACATCTTGGAAAATTGTTTATAAGCAATATTTACATGTTTATAATTATCAGCATGTAAATTACAACAACTTGTAAAGAGTATCAGTATCCAATACAATGTTTTAGACATTCTTACAAACTGCACAACTTTTCAACTGCAAAACATCAAACATTGATTCAATAGGCATTTGAATACAATTTTCTCTTTAAACTTTTATGTATATATAAAATTTTCAATTCTGTTTTTGAGGTGGAATACAAAAGAATCTGAAAATTATTATTAACACAATTTCAAATTTCTGCCAAAGGATGGATGTTTTTACGATTTCAATTTTTCTTTGCTGTCTACATTCAGCAATTTTTTTATATAGTTTTATCAGAACGAATACATGTACTGTATAATGAATAAATGATACATCACACCATTGACAGACAGAAAGGAAATATATTTTTTTTACAGATTCATGGCAATATTTTCAGACAAACTTAGATATTGGAGCTCTCTATGAAAAACCGGACAAGTGATTTATTAATATAAAATCCATTTTTTGGCTGGCTATTGTCTAATGAAATACTAATTTAAATATCATATATGTAATTTTCAATAGTATTTCATTAATACATTTATGTTTTTTTTATAGTATTCATTTTTTATTTGTCATTTTATTCTCTGAAATTGTTAATACTCTGCCAGGATTATTCCACTGTCTTGGTTGCTAAAGCAACAATTAGTTTATTAATTTAATCTTTTATGCGAAAAGTGAATATCTTTATATGATGAAAGATATTTTAATACTAAAGAGGGCACCACAGGGACCTTAGACTTTGGTTATTCATTTATGAACACTTAATGTAATAAAATATTCATGGAATGTTCTGTTTTTTAACATATATGAATAAATTGAAAGAGAAAATAATGATTGATGTTTGTTAATTGACGCAGAATTGAATCTAATTTATATAAATAAATAAACTATTTGCATGTAATAATTATGTTGCTATAGAAATGATATATTCAAAACAATCATTCTAGGTTTGTTATTTCGTAATTGCATATTTTCATATTTTCTTCACTTGCTGCAAAACCTTTAACGTATACAGCTTGACAGTACTCTTCTCCACAAATACACGAATAAATACAAAAACTATTACCATCTCCATCAATTAGCTTACAAGCGAAATATTTTCCACGAAAATCTGGTTCCAATTCCACAGTATCCGGCTTGTACACCAACAATCCAGATTTTTGTAAACCGTATTGAATATTAATACAATTTTGTAGGTTAACACCTTGAATTTGAATTTGAAAATTTGTAAATTTTGAATTGACAGTTGGCCATGGAATTCGTAAATAAAATATCTTATTTGTTAGAATGTCAACGCAAGTGTTATCAGTTTTATGATCTAAAACATTTCGAATATTCACGCTATTCGAGCTCTTTTCATCCTCAAATATTGGTCCATTTGCACAGGAATGAGCTACAACTGACTTACGACTCACTGCCAAGTTGTAGTCGCAAGTTGAAGCTGTTGATGTAAAGATTGAACATGCGTTAGGCCTATTATCGGGAAGAGTATGGGAAAAAACGTCCTTGGGAAAAAACGTCCCTGGGAAAAAACGTCCCAAGGTTGGGAAAAACAAGTAGTGGGAAAAGATATTTGAATTTTAAAAAAGATTGCTCTATTTTTGGAACCAATGCCAATATACTGAGAATATAATAATTAATAATGAATGTATGTTTATTAAAATGTATTAAAAATGAAAAAAGCTAAGAATGTTATACAAAGTTTGAAAGTTACTAGAATAAAGTAAAAAGTATGTTAAGACACTGAGAATTATTTTGAATAGATTAATGCAATCTTCTGCAAGAGGACAGCATATGTAATCATTACCAATTTGTATTCATCCCAAACAGCAAACACTTGGTTCTGCTTCTGGATGACACTTTTCTTCTGATACTTCTTTAGCCTTTTTTCTGATAGAAGTTTCTCTAGCACTGGAATAAGACTTGATTCCTGTTTTAAAATATCTATGAGCATATAAAATGGCCCTTTTATAATTTCTTTTAAACTGTATTTTAATCCATGATCTTAACAGTGATAACGTCGGCAATGTGACGCCCAATCTTGATTATTCAGCCAACTCGGTTCCAGCGCATTTTCGCAACTAAATCTATATTCTCCTGACCAATAAGTAGAAAATGCTGTCTGGCAAGTTGCCAAATTTCTTTTACTCGCTATATTCAGTAGTTTTCCATCTTATATTTTGGACAAAAAGGAATGTTTGTCACAGAAATAGTGTTTGTCTATTTTGATATTTAAATCTATATTTACTTAACGTGAATCCATCAGAAAGCTGTATACTAAAAAATAAACAATATACGTAATTGAAATTGAAAATTTGCATTTTAACAAAGCAGAGAGTTAATTAAACGCCTTTCTTCTGCTATATTCTCTAGTATATTACCATTAACTAATTACAGTTGTTTGCGAGGTGGACATTCTCTAGTTCATATGCATAACGCATATGATAAAATTTCTATTATAGTAAAATTTCATACATATTTAAGTTGCCTGAAAACATTGAATAGATTTTGTTGATTACTAAAAAACCTGCTCTCTTTTCAAGACTGATTCGAGTGTTTGTAATTTGTTAATTAAAAAAGTGCCGACTAAGGTGTAAAAATTGGCAAGTGCTCCATGCAGTTATTCAGCAAAAAGACAAATCTCTGTTAAAGGAAGTCAACAGCAAAATCATAAATGGGAAAATAAACTAGAAAGAAAATTATGAAGTAGTGGGTGAGGTTTTTAAGGTTTTTACACAGGTACTTTTTCACCTGCTAATCCAATAGGCTAAAACAACATTGTATTCAGTACTATTGAAAAAGATATTAACCATCAAAAAAATATTTCAACTGTTCAATACATTGTTTTTCTTTTATTCTTATCTTTTCTAAAATTGAAGGTGGAGGCTTCGAAGCTTTTTCAAATTGCTATCTTCTTGTAGATGATGAACAGACAGAAATCTATTGATCCAAAAATCTTGTGTTGAACAAAAATTTTCAATTCTATATCTCTTACAACTTTTATATTATTTATCACTAGATGGCACAAGCTTCAACAATGCTTGAAAGTTTGTGAAAAACCTTCATGATTGCATGTCAAAAAGTTTAATTATTCAACATTTAAAAATAATTCCTTCCTTATATTTTTAATGCTATTTTTTTCATTGGTCACGTGATAAATTGTTAATTAATATTGGCAAGATAAGGTTTTAAGATCTCTCTAAAGATAATCAATTGAATTTTTAATTATGATGATGTTAATAATCAACATGAAGATAGCAGTATTAGTTTAAGAGTAAACCAGAACAATTTAATTCACGTTTATTTCTTGTTATGGAAAAAATTGATTTTCACAAGATGTCACTGGTGTCTTAATATTCATACTTATGGTATTGTTTATGTTGGTTGGTCTAGCTAACAGAGGCATTTTGTTTGAACTAATTTGTTATACAAAATGGCGTCGTTAAATCTTATAGAAAATATTAAGTCAACTGTTGAATTACAAAGCGGGTTTTCAAAAGTTTGTCAATCACTTAGTAAATCTGGTAAAACATTAAAAATTTGTATATTTAAAAATTGTAAATTAAATGAAAAAATGGGTAAAAATATTGGAAAGTTTTTAATGAATTGCACTGAAATCGAAATAATGAACCTATCAGAAAATGGAAATTTAGGAAATGGATTTTTAAACATTCTTAAAGGATTGAAAAACTGTTATAATAATTTAATTGATATTGATTTTACTTTTTGTAATATCAATGAAAATTCGTGTAAATATCTTGAGAAAATTTTAAGTGATTGTCCAAAATTAACAAAATTTTCTTTAAGTAAAATTTTAAATGGTGAAAATCAAATTTTAAATATTTGTAATGGACTTGAAAATTGTTGTAAGACATTAAAATCTATTTGCCTCTGTGATTGTAATATTGATGAAACAACTGGTAAAGGAATTGGGAATCTTTTATTCAACTGTTCAAAGATTGATATGATTAATATCGGAGCAAATTGTAATATTGGAAATGGACTTTTTAGGATTATTGAAGGCCTAGAAATCTCAACGTTAACACTAAGGATTCTGCTTATTCCTTATTGTAATTTGGATGAAAAATTTGGCAACTGTCTTGGAGAATTTTTAATGAAATGTTGTAATATTGAAGAAATTGTTTTAGAAGGAAATGGAAATATTAACAATGGATTATTAAAAATTTGCATAGGCCTAAAGAAATCTTGTAAGTCTTTAAAAATAATTAATTTTAACAATTGCAATTCAAGTGAAAATATGGGAAGCTCTATTGGAAATTTACTTTTAAATTGTTCAAAAATTGAACGTTTTGAATTTGGTAGTAATCCAAAAATAGAAAGTGGATTATCAAAAATCTGTAAAGGTCTTGAAAATTGTTCAAAAACTCTAAAATATTTGAATTTTACTAAATGCAATCTAAATGAAAATACAGCTATTTCTATTGAAAATTTATTAATCAAATGTTCAAAAATCGAAAATATTGATCTGAATGGAAATAGAAATATGTTTTGTGGATTTTTTAAAATTTGTAAAGGATTATATACATCTTCAACAATGCTACAATGCTTGAACATTCAAGAATGCAATTTAGATAATTTTATGTGCTTTCCCCTTGGAAGCCTGTTGGAGAAATGTTGCCAAATTGAAAGTGTAAGCCTAAATAACAATCCAAACTTGGATTATGGTGTTTTTATCATATGTAAAAAATTGTATAAATTTACAAACACTCTAGTATCAATTAACTTTGAAAATTGTAATATTAACGAAGAAATGGCAATTTCAATTGGAAGATTACTGATGTATTGTACATATATTAAAGAATTTTACATGGGAAAGAACACTGAAATGGGTAATGGAATATTTAAAATATGTTACGGATTAGAAAAATCATCAACGAGTCTAAATTCTATTGGTCTTCAAAATTGTAATTTAAATGATGAATTGTGTAAACCAATCAGTAAATTGTTGATAAATTGTTTAAACATTCAACAAGTGTTTTTAGGTTGGAATGAAAATATTCAATTTGGTTGGTTGTATATTTGTAATGGAGTTGAAAAATCATTAAATTCCTTAAAAATACTTGACTTTAGATATTGTTTTCTAAACTTTCAAAGTCGTCAGGAGATTTTAATGCAAATTCAAGAGAGTAAAGTCAAATTTTAAATTCACCAACTTGTCATAGACAGCTTCTCTTTTTGTAGTTATAGCAATATCAATAGTATTATAAATTTTACTCACTTTGAGATCTTTATCAACATATTTACTAGTCATGTGATCAATTAAGGCCAATAGGAAAAATCTATTAACGAAATTTCTAGTATGACTTTTTGTGGGACTGGTAGAAAACGAACAGAACCTTAATTGAAAACAGCCCAAGACTTATTTTTATATAGAAAATAATAAATATAAATGTCAAAAAAAGATTTAGATGATAATTATTGTTTTTTTAAATAATTTACATATTTTTAATGGTTATTTGTATTATTTTTCACTACTCAAAGCCTTCACAAATTTAAAAGATTAATTGATGTGTTTGAGTAATATTGTCAGAGCTGAAATAATTTTCTTTTGGAAAATGAATATTTCACTGATTTTGAAATTTTCTGTTGATTCAATTCCTCCTTAGATTCGAATTGTGGACTAAAATTAATGAGTTTTTTGGTGAGGTGCCATATGTTCTGTTTTGGGCTGAGGTTAGGGCTCTTTGCTGGCCAATCAAGAGGCTGGATGCCATTTAGCTGAAAGGCTCTTTTAGTTGTCCTAGGAACTGAGAAATTTCAAGACTAGATTTTGAATTGAGAAATGGTTAGGAAGAAGAAGACAGCAACTGATATGTACTTAGGAGGGTCTCCTTTAAGGGTTAAGGGTAATAGAAAAGGTTAGGTACAGCCAGGGGCTGGGTTAGGGTCAGGGTAAAAGCACTGATTTGTGGACGTTTTCTGTCGCATCCGTCCTAGCAGTATGGCAGCATTACCTTGGTGGAAACTGCCTGCTCATTTTAAGACAATATCTTTTTCTTCTTTCACAATTGTTGATTGTGAGGTCAGGTCTTTGGTCTCACTCACTTATATTTGATATTTTGTCTTTTCAGCTCCCTCTTAATTGTTGCTATGATTACATCTACTGCTAATTTCTTTAAAATTTCTTGATATCACCCTTTCTTTATAATTCTTTTCATCCTGCCTATGTCTCTTTTTCAAAGTCTCTTTGGATGACCCATATTCTACTGTTCTGGAGGATTGTATTGCAGGATATTGCTAACCGATGTTGGTACCATCCCCAAAACTCTTGCTGTTGCTCTTAATTTTTCCAGTTCGTTGTATTTCCTTATTACAAGATTCCTAATATCTTTACTACATGTAAAATAGATACAATAAAAATTAACTAATATAGTTAATATTGACAATAATAGAAAAAACTTAATTTGAAGAATTAAATAAGTCAAAAAAATTTTGTCTTATTGGAATGCCAAACCAGATGTCAAGACTACGTTCCAATAATTATGAAGCACAATCAAATCAAGAAAGAATTGGCGAAAATTACTAAAAATATTTGCTAATAATATTCCCAAATATCATTATTTTCTCAATTTTTTAATATTACATAAATATTACCGTTTTTCTATATAAATTTTCTTGGTTGTTTAACTCTGGCCATTTTCAACATGGCCATTTCCTATGGATGTGGTAGAAAATGGCAATAGATCTGTGGTTTTACCCTAACCTGGCCCTTATTTTTGCCTAACCTTTTTCAATGCTCCTAACCCTTAGATGGGACCCTCCAAAGTCAATAGCTATCTTATTCCTCCTAACCATTTCTCAACCTGAAATCTTGTACACTTAGACATAATATATATCAATATTTAGACTTTAGATGTAAAGGTATATTAGAAATACTTCTATTTCCTAGGAATTATAATGATGGAGCTTTAGAAAGACTCTTATTTCGTAGAGTTAGATTTTATGACGAATACTGTTCTGAAGGAGCAGAAATTCCTACAATTACAATAGAACAAAGTATAAATCTAAATTTCAGATATGGCCGGTCCCGTTTCCTATCATATTTCACTTTTTATTTACATTTAAGAGTTTTGTTCTTTTGAGAAATGTCAAAATTGTAAGTATTAGTTTTGCATTCTGTGCAAAGAGATGATTAGATGTTAGAGACAAACCTCGCAGTACTTATATATCCTAACTGTCGCAGTCCAATCATCTTGAAATGTTATTTATTTATTAATTATTTAACAAATGTATTTGTATGTATTGAAATGATCAAAACTTTGAGCTCACTTTAAGGTTATCTTTACACAAGGATATTATCAGATTCATCAGCTTCTACAATGTGCTGGGCCTAAGCAAAGATTATTAAATTGTAATAAACAAAAATAAGATAATAATAAATATGTATTGATTATAATTTTTTCAAATGATTAGTATAATAGTATGTACAATCAATGAGAAATTATTGCATTTTTAGTCCATGAGGAGACCTCTTCAAAGAATATTTATGCACTACTAAAAAGCTATTTGGTGGTGATGAGACTCTGTAAGAAGGTGAGTTAATGGCTGACAGGAAATGTCCTCAAGTGGAATATTTAAAAGCATCATTTCAGATTGAAAAATGGTTAGGAGGAGTAAAGTGGCTATGGATTTGTGATTAGGGGGGTTAGAAGTAATCAAAAAGCTAAAAGTGGCTAAATCAGTTGAGATATTTTTAAAAATTTGAATTTTTAAAAAAGAAAAGATTACTGTTCTCGATTTTTTTTGACACTAGATTTTGACCGAAAAAAGCTTAACTGTGTCTGTTAAGGCTAATTTGAATTTGAATTTGATAATATTTTATTTTAAAACTATGATTTAAAGATGCGTCACAGGTTTCTATAACTGATCAGATTAAAATTATTGTTTTTTAAAATGTCATATCCGAAATATATTTATAGACTCAACAGTTTTTTTCCTTCTTTTTAATGACATGTTAGATGATTTAAAAATTTTTAATTCTCTTTTAATTTCAAGTTTACTAATCAATCAATTAATCCAACCCAGTCAATTAATTTGTCACTCAGTAAATGTATAAATGGATACATTACTCAAAGAGTGTCCAACAAAACTAGCAAATTTAAATAATAGAAAAACCCCAAAACTCCATCTTCTCTAGGAAAAATATATCATTGCTGCTCGTCTATTTTTCATTTTGAAATTATAAATATTTCTCCATTTTGAAGTTGATCTGTTTATATACAAAAAGAGTGTGTGTGTGTGAGAGAGAGAGAGAGAGAGAGAGAGAGAGAGAGAGAGAGAGAGAATATGATAAAAATTAGGTTAAATTAACATGTTAAAATCTCTTTTTTTTTACCTGATGACCAGCATTCAAATATTTTGGACATTTGATTTCATATGTTATTATATATCCAAGTTTGAGATAAAGATTAATTGCTTTTGTATTATCCGAATTTACAATTAGAGATACTCTCTGTAAAGTGAATTTGAATAGTAAGGTATCAATGGATTATAATTATTATTATCTTTTACCTTTGCACCTCTCTTTTCTGCAATATATTCGCAATATTGCATTACATTATAAGCAATTTTTTGACCTCTTGCCTTTGGATCTACTGTTACGTAATCAATATAAGGTTCAAACATTTCTGATCTAATACTTGTTATTTCCAATTGCAATCCAGTTAATACAAATTTTCCAACACAAGATAATGGAAAAATTTTTAAAGTTTCAGAAATTGGTAAACCTTTTTCTTGTCTATTTTAAAATTTATTTCTTTTTTTTTAACAAAACAATAGAAAGATTGATTAATATTTACCCTGCAAAGTCCTGTAATTTTAGTAATCCTTTTACCTCATTATTAATTTCGGTGATTAAAAAATTATTTTTGACAGTATTATCATAATTTAAAGTTTTTATCCAAAATTCTCTGACATATCTAAGATTATTCCTTCCAACAACTATCGATAAATCATCACTGTAAGCATCAGTTATCAATTGAGCAACTCTTGGTATATCCTTATCCTTTATTCCTCTAAAAGTCATTCCATCTACAACAGGTATTGCTCTTTCTACATTGCTCTTTGTCTTCAAATACTCATTATAGTTTTGTAAATAAGCAATTCGTTTAAATGAAAAGAGTCTTCTTGCCAAACTGTTCATTGTGAAGTGTGAGTGGGACGGAATAATTAATTTAACAACTTGAATATTTATATTCAAAAATTGAATTTAAGGCATATTTTAGCCTGGTTATCAAAGAACCTTAGATGTGATCAATGTGTCCATTGAAATAAACTCTCTCTTGTAATCTTGATTTTGATAAATTTGTTTTAAATTTTGTATTGTAGTAAGTTCAGCAAATATGTTCGAATCATAAAGAAAATATTTTCTCTTTGTTACAAACACTGCATCTCCATAAAGTATAGCTGTCTTTCATAAATTTTACATTGATTGCAAATCCATTAAAGAGTAGAATGTTCTTTCCTTTTTAATTTCAAATGACTGACTGTAACTAGTGAGGGCTTGGTGAAGTTATAAGAAACTATATATAAAACTTTTGTTACAAATACCAGTTTAAGGAAAGATGAGTTATTTCCTTCCTTAGGGAAGGAAATTTATCTAATTCCTAATTAAATAACTATTGAAATTTTTTAGTGAATCATTAAAAATGTTTACAATCCAGAAAACCTATTAACCTATTATATTATTTCGTTTCATGTGTTTAGATATCTCTCATAAAGTAAAAGTCATTGTCGGCTTGAGCTTTAACAATAAAGCCTAAAGATTGTCCAATTGGTGTTTCGTGTTCGCCAACTATTCTCATATAACTATGTCAAATTGAATTACGATTGGATAATATAAATCGCATTACACTATCATCTGTAGAATCTGGAAATGCGCATTCAAAATTGAGAATATACAGTCCCAATAAAAAATCTTGGGCAGGGTTGTCCTTAAACTGGAAAAAGGGAAATATTTACCTAAAAGGACTTGCTTAATTATTTTTTTTTATTAGAATGAAGGATAAGACATTTATACAACTGAATTTAAAGATATAATTCATTTAAAAATTTACATTAACAAGCTTGTCTAGCAGTATAAAAAGGATTCTTTTTTTGAATCACAATAAGATTTCTCTTGTCTACTTCTGAAATCTTTTTGGGGCGGCCAGACCTGGGTCTGTCCTCCATAGTAAAATATTCTGCTTTCTTTTTTAGATTGTACTGAATAGTACTGCGAGCAATTTTTAGCTCTTTGGAGATTTTTACTTGGCTTAACCCTCTTCGGTCCAGTTCAACAATTTTTTCATGCATTTCTAGGTTTTATTTTACCCATTTTAAAAGTTTTGTAATAATTTGTTCCAAAGAATAGTCTGACAGTACTCAGGAATGTCGTAAAAAATAAAAAAAAGTGGGTTTCTATCTAATTAACATGTAACTTTTTGCCGGGAACAGGCATCCTGCCAGAAATTTTACCTCCTCCATTTTTGCAAAAATTTGTCAAAAAAAATTACTGGAAAGTAAAAAAAATTTTTAGTATTCTTCCAGTATTATCAAGTTTAAAAGACGTTTAATAATAAAAATCTAAAGTTAGTTGACTCTATGACTCTGATGAGCTTTTTTTATCTAAAATGAAAATAGCCAAAAAAAACTGTCTCTAGATTCTGATTTGGAAAGTAAAGTGAGCGTTTTCTTTTAATCTTATCACTAAAAGATAAACTTTTAAAAAATATCGTTTTCCTTGAAACTCAGAAATCAATATAATAGCTCACTGGTAAGTTCTAAACAAAAATAGACACTGAGTATTTGAAAAAGAGCCAACAGAGAGAGTTTTCTTATTTCGTTATCTAAAAATATGCTTTTTTCATCATAGTTTAAAGATAATTGTCGATTTGGCAAGAGTGGAGCGGATTTTAAAGTACACAATCCATCTTCATCAAAACTTTTTATAAAACAGTTAGTGTCAATAAATTTTAATACTATTTCCGGTAAAGTTTCTTTCGAATTAAATTTTATTCCATTAAGCCTACTACTCTCAATTAAAATTGACTTTTTCGATACCATTACGCAAATAGAATACAATTTATCTAATAGATATTCATTTTGTTGCAATTCGCAATGATTCCCTTCGAATATCCTTACAATTTTACCTTCTGTTCGAAAAGATTAATTATTAGAAAAAAAGAGCGATAAAAGGTGTACAATTGGAAAAACTAACCAAAATCGTTGATTCAAAATTGTTTGTGGCTTTGGCAAACGTTACGTAACGACTTGGATAATTCATTTGATAGCGAGTACTTAGTAGAACATTATTAGGGGGACTGTTATATTAAATGTTTGAATGATTTATATCGGTTAAATTGATAAAAATCTGGTTAGTATTTGATAGAAGAATTGTAAATATTCTTGTTTCTTGACTATAAAAGTTAATGAAGATATCTTGGCATTGATTATTAGTATTAGGTATTTTTCCATTTAAGCTAAAACTGAATGATTTTAATGAATAATGCATGTTTGGAGGAAGGTAATACTGCCATTTTGTTGTTGACGTCAATCTATACCATTTAACTCGTATATCTAAAATTTAAATGATGAATAATTATTTTATAATAATATTTTGAAATTTTAATTTACAAACCTTCTGAAAATACTTGAACAAGACCAAATCCAACATTTCTATTGCTTGCATGAGATTTAACTTCTATATAGATACCAGTTTCTATTAATTTATCATTATATTCAAAACAGTTTTGGTATGGATCTTGTCTAATGTTAATTAATTCCTCGAAACCGGAAGTCCATTTGATCTTCACCTTTGTAATGTACTTTATTGTATGTTGCCTATTGTAGCGAAAGAGTTTATTATACTAAACTTTAGGAAGATAGAAAATAATTTTTTCACATAATTGTAAGACAAAAACTAATTGGTTTCCCATAATATTGAAATGAAATATTTATATATTGTCCTATGCATTGGGCTTCATCATGTTCAGCCATCCATTCATTAACCATAGAAGAGTAACTGTTTATTAAATCTAACGCTGGATGGCATTTCCAAACGTTACTATTTTTATTACAGTTTTTGCAGTACAAGTTGCTCCATTTTCTTTTGAAGCTATATCAATTAATAATTTAAAAGCTTGCCTGTTATCTGAAATATTGGTGAATTATGAAATGACTGTAATAATGTTTTAATAATGTTAATGTGATATTCACTATCGTATAAATTTATGATTATTGAACTGAAACCGGTGTTTGAAGCTGTTGATTGATGTGGTAGAAATGTTATATTTTTCGCACTAATTCCACTTTGGAACTCTGGTAGAAAGCATTCAATTAACGCTTTTTTATCCAAGTTTATCTTGTACGAAAGTCCATTTTCGTAGAAAAATTCGACTTTTTCCGCTTTGTTTTCATAGGTTCAATACGATTGAGATAAACATATTTCATTAATGTTGTATGTTTTTTGAATGTTATTGCAAATTTATTAAAAATTAAAGGATTAGCCGCAGATGTCACATAGGAATTCACATTCATCCAATGAGGAGATAGAACATTTTCACATGCAAAATTTACCAGGGCTTTTATTTTCTTAGCATAACATTCAGCTCAATTTGACACATCAGCAACATTCACTAATTTCATTCCTGCATCAGGTGGAATAAGTTTTAGAGGAGGAGACAGCAACATTTAAGAATTGTTAATATACAAACTTGTATCTATAAACACAATCGACAGGGAGAGAAGACAACAACTTGAAAAGTAAGATGCATTTTTGGTTCTTTGAGTAATTCTAAAAATTCAAAAGAAAATTAATTCAAGTATTGAAGAATAAGTTTTTATAAAATTATAAACCTATGAAAAAATCATTTTTACGCTTTGGATTTATTACGTTAGAATCATTAATATGGATTTTCTATTGACTATTTCAAACAGTGCAATCTGTTTAATGTATTCATGAGCTCAATAATACATGAAGATGTAGACCTGGTGTTTAATGTTTGTGGCAATTGTTTCGTCTATAAAGCTTCCAATTATATTAGGTAACCTTCTCCTTTGGTTTTCAATTCTATAGTTGAGTTTGTATTTATAAGAGTTGAAAATGTAAATGATAGAGATGATGATGATGGTGGTGGTGGTGATTGTGAGGTGATGAGAATACACTTGAAATACCTGTAATGAGTGATTTTAACTCAAGTTTTTTTTTTCAAAGATAAATTTTTTTCTGCCAAAGCAATTACATCACCTATATTTGAGGTTCGTTCGGATTTATTGAGACCTAAAGACATTATGACCAGACATCTAAAAAGAAAAATTCATATAAAAAACATTTGATTTACAATGCCAGCATCTCACATCATAAGAAACAAAATGTCTTCCATTTTTTTGATGATGAAATGCAATTGTATCATCCATTTTCATATTGATTGTATGATTAATGAGAATGATTTTAATACCAACGGACTCTAGGGATATTTGTATCAAATGAACTAATTTATAGGTTAAATTGTATTTATTTTCCTTGTCAAGTGGTTCCAAATGCCAATTTTCCCAGTATACATTGAGTTTATTCTATAATATTCAACATATTACAATAAATATTACAATAAATTCAAAACCAAATCAATTTTACAGCTTTTTCCAAATGAATTAAAATAATTAGTTAATGAATATCTAACACCTTTTTTAGACTTTTTCTTTCCTCCCTTCATTGAATTGAAAATTAAAACAGTCAAAGTCTCATCCAAAACTGCTATTATATGACAAATTATGATTTTTGTCCAGAAATTCTTTAATTATCAAATTTTAATGAATCTAAATGATATTTCAAGGAAACTCATATATATATCCAACTTTAAAGTAATGTTTTATACCCGAACAATAAAAAAAAATCTTTTTTGCTGGTGATAAAGATTAATAATGTTCGGCCTATAGAAATTCATGGTGTCCAGGTTTTTTAGTCGACTACTATATACCACTTAGAACTATTAAAAGACTAGATCAATACTGCTCAACATATACGTAAGAAAATACAATAATCTTAGAGTTAGGATACACTTACAAAGTATTCTTAATAAATACTATATAAATGTTACTAGATGCTCCCTCTAGGGCAAATGTTATCCAACTACCAAAATATAAGCAAAATATAAGATGTTACATAACTAAACATGTTGACAAAACCAAAAATTTTTTTACCAAAACATAATGTAACAAATGACCTTTAAACGTTTATTAACATGACTTTTTGTTACATCACTATTGCATAGCATAATAACCTTTGACCCTGTTGCATTAGAATGGACAGAAAAACATAATTATGTAAAACCTCATTTAAATGTTTTTGAAAATAAATGCTGTTGATTCTTTACCGTGCTTTAGTAATACCCATTGAAAAGATTTTGATACATTATCTACAAAATTACAATTAAGATTAGCAATTAAAAAACTTACATCTTTTAATTATAATATCTTACATCTAACAAAATCACAAAAAAAGTTTCTGTAAATAGAGAAGAAAAAATACAAAAAATCCTACACCATTTTGCGTCCAAAAGAAATTTTAATATTCAACCAAAACGGAAATTTGCAATTTGTTTTGAATTTTACACCGAAAATAGTGGAAATATCTTGTTTTGTCATCATATCATTTTTGATGAATGTATAACTAATCTAACTGAAAACAGACAGATAGATAACCATATGTTGAAGATTTCTGAAGGACTTGAAAAATTGTAGATTAAATAGAGAGCAAAAACAAGAGAGGAAATTTGCCAAATCGTTTGCTCCGGAATTGAAACAATAAATCTAAATTGGAATATAAATATGGGTAATGGAATTTTTAATATTTGCCATGAACGAATGTCATCATATATTTTGAAGAAACTTGATTTCACAAATTGTAATTTAAATAAAGAGCAAAGAGAAAAGATAGAAAATTTACTAAACCATTGCTCAAGAATAGAAATAATAAAGGTATCTTGGAATAAAGGCATAGTACTTTCCTCCTGGGGGTGGTAGGTAAGTACTGGTCCAAAGAGAACCGAATTAGGAGTAAGCCACTTAGAAGAGAGTTGAGGGAAGATGAATATAGAACCAAATCATAAGAATAATAGAACTGTATTCTAAAGTAATACTAGACCTGTTCACTAAGAGGGTTGATTCAGGACTGAATGCCTGTTACTACCTACGCCCTGCTTTTATACAAGTCCTTATCAGCTGGTGTCAATAGCAAGGGTCGAACCCCAGATAAGGATTGTTCACTCTTCATTAGAATATGTGAATTTTAGCAATAATTATCGTCTAAAAGATGGATTAAAATGTATCTTGGATGGACTTCAATACTCTTCAAACATCTTAATGGAAATTAATCTGAGTTCGTGCGATTTGAATGATGACCCAGCAAAATATGTAGGAAACATCTTTTCAAGTTACAGCTAATGATATTGAGCTGTTTCAAAGTGTTTGAAGAAGATTGAAGTCCCTTACACACAATTTTATACATACTCTTAGCCATTTCTAAATCAGTTGAATAAATGTGCAATACAATACTAGATAATAATTTGAAAAAACTGAAAATAACATTATCAAAGTGGCCGTCGAAAGGAATCTGAGTATAATAATGCAACTGACCTTGTAGTCTGGTTAATTTCAGCGGTGAGATGTTAACAACATTAGCAACGGGTATCTCTTAATTATACATGGAGTTATTCCAGGCAATTCTGATCAATATATAATGGCTGCTATAAGATTTTAGTTTAGTATTTATGAAAATATAAGTTACCAAATCATTAAACAATTTGCTTACTAATCTAATAATTAATTTAGATGTACCCTGTAGTTCATTACGTCACTAATTTCTCAGAGTAGCTACTATAGAAATTTTTACCCGCACCTAAACAGTAATCCATAATTAAAAGTGACAGACACAAGAAAGGAATGATAATCTTTAAGGCTGAATTCAAAAACTGGTGCTTCATCCAAGGAGAGAGTTTAAGAAGAATAATTCAAAGTAGACAACAAAAAAGTACTGATTAAATACAGGCTCTAAGCAGATATGTTCTAAAACTGTTCTTGCAATGAAATTTTCCAGAAAAATGGAACTAGCTGACAAAAAACAGTAAAAACAGAGTAGTACTTGAAAAGAAGACATTAGACAATTGGATAGCCAGCAATCCAGACCTCAATATTATAAAGCAAAATTACTCAGCTTATGGCAACAGCCACTCAATTTTATCAGGAATGGGTAAAACTGTACCAGGTAAAATCGTACCCATTGAGAGTGAAATTGTACCTGTTGATATGAGAATATTAAAAATTGAAATGATGACCCTACATAAACAGCTGTTTGCTAGATATTTAATTGAAATTTTTTGTAAATATATAAAATGACTCAGATTTTTCAGTAATTTTTGTATTTTGTATCAACAAATATGTGGTATGTATACCACTAGTACTTGTAAGTAGTTTTTAAGTTTCTAGTCAGCCATTTTGAATTTGTTTATTGATAAGAGAATCTTGAAATCATATTGAAATTATTTGCTTCAAACTTATTCAGTGCTTTCAAATACTAAATTTAACATTTCACATCGGCGCATTTTGAAATATGGGAATGAAATGTAAAAATTGCAAACTTACAGTTTATGGAAGACAGAAGACAAAATTTTGTTTGCAATACAATGAGCTTCTTTATGAGAAATCTATCATTAGTAAGAATATTTAAATCATATGGTCAATTGCAAATATGTCAATTATTTCTATTTTAGATTCTGAGAGGCTGATTTGGTTTGTATTTATGAAAACTTCTCTCTGAGAGGTAATCTTTATTACCAAGTATCAGAGAAAAAAATATGGCGTTGTAGAGAGAAAAATATTTGAAATTTGGGATAATTATAGACTTGGAAAGATGTTGGCTGATCAATTATTATTCCAAACATCATATATTTATACTGCCTAGTTATTCTATTCTATTTTTCTTTAGTTGTTATACATTAAAAAGAATCCTTCAATCGTGTCTTATAATTTCATTACAATATTCAAATATTCATAATATATCATCGTTTTTTGTTATTTCCATATGTATCAACATCCATAATATTACTTGGGTACATCTAAAGAGAAATTCGCCCCTATTCATTTGTATCAAATCCCTCTAGTGGAGTTTATCTCCAATGCCTCTGGCAGTCGGCCTACTACACTTGGTTTAACTGCATTGTTCTCTTGTAAGTTATCAATATTCATGATTATACAATAAACTATGACAATTGGTGTGTATAACAATAAAATCTATAATTTTTTTAAATATTTCATTGTCTTATAATTGAGTTGAACAATACATATTTATAGAATATTTTTGTTAATAGCATTGTTGAAAAATCGTATAGGTAGAGGATATGCAAGAAAAATATCATTCTGCATTATGAAAATTTACAGTTTTATTCTCTTAGTAATCATATTTCATGAAGTGTCTTCTTTCGACAAATGTTAGAATTTTTTTTAATCACTAATAATATAATATATATAATTTAAATTTAAAGATGGAAACCTTGTAAACGTCGGTTCAAAGAAGAATGGCGCAACTTGTCAGGCATCTTCGGAACATTTGCAACAAAAGGGGTTTACTTTCCTATGCGAAAATAGCTTGGAACCAGAATGGATAAATGTATTTGACTGGGCGGCAGATTGCAATGTTGGTAACTGCATTTCAACATGGATCATCATTAATTTTTTAAGACCATACGATATCACAAAAATATGTATTGCTCAAAGAACTTTAACTGCAAATGTAATCCTTAAAGCAGTAGAAATTACAATTGGAACCAACAAACCAATTTATAAACTAGACTTGATTAACACCTGTCTCTTACTAGAAGAAGGAATTGGTCTAGACTCCACTAGTATAAAATTAACAACAAAAGGTGCGGAAACCGGAAATGTTGGCTCTAATTCCATTTCCGCTTATGCATATGATAAAGGTTTAAAAAAAAGAAACAACTGATGAAAGGTATTTTTTTGACTAATTATTTTCTATAAAATAGATTCAAGCAAGCCTGATGAAAGATTAATCAATATCGCTGAACTTGAACTTGGAGCTACATGTACGCATTCAAGTGCGTTTAATTCTTATGGTTGTACCGAAGCCATTTCCAGACGGTATACGGGAGAATGGGCATCACAGTGTCATGGAGATTCTTGTATTGATCAATATATAGAGATAACCTTTGCTTTTCCTGCTATACCAAAAATAATATGTCACATGAATAGGTAATATCTAACGTTTTTGAATAAGACAAACCATTGAAAGATTTATTGAATGATCATTAATATTTTATATGTAGTCGCTATTTAATTTTTCAAAAGAAACTACCCAACTACTACTAGTTTTTACCTAATTATGACTATGTTGCTTTCTGTTTCCATATGAAATAGGCATGTCTTCCCTCGTGATAACAAGAAAATGAAAATGGAATGGAGTTCGGGTCATGTTGATATTTTGGAGAATATGGAAAGAGGAGTGGTTTATCGCTGTTACAACTATACTCATGAACCAACTATTGAGCATTCAGTTAAAGTTCTTATGAAAGAAGATTATAATGCTGGTGATGTTGGACTGTCATATTTTAAAGTTTTTGCAAAAAGTAAATATTATTTTTCTTCTTGACCTATTTTCAAATCAATAATTTTTAATCTTTAGAGACTGACAAAGACATCTATAGTATTCAATTTATTACTGATGTAGTCTATCACCTACAATCAAATGTTAACATGGTCAAATTTAGGATAAAAGGCGTTTCTACAGGACAAACTAAAGATTGTTCATCTTTAATAATTACTTTCAAGAACAAGGCTACAAAATTATTTTCATTAAAACTAGATACTTTGACTGATAACAATATTGAAAATTCTTCAATTGAAATATTTGAACCTGAATTAAAAACCATTGATTTTATTATACAAAAATCATTGATAAATTGTGTAGAATGGAATGATTTTTGGTTTCAAAGTCAACAAGGACTAGTTAAATTTGGTTTTGGTGAACAATATGGTTTAAATAATTTATTGATATTTCAGTCTAAAATATATTTAAGTGTTACTGAAATACTGTTCAAAAATAATGAATCAGATATAATAAATCTGGTTCAATTCACACATTTTGATATTGGAATCTTTTCTGTTAATTCTGCATATAGTGAATGTTCATACCAAAATTATTATGAAAATTTGAATGAACTAACAAACAGTTGTAAAAGGATAAAATCAAAAGCAGTTTCATTTGAGTACAATCTATGGAATGGAACAAAGATATTGACCAAAAATAGTTCTGATCTTGTATTGAGTTTAAAGAAAAATAGTGCGATATATAATAAAGATCTATCTATATATATCACTTACAATTCAATAAATAAAGCAGGAAATAAGGAATTGAAATTATGCGAATTTAAAAATCATAATGAAACCAATTCATTTGCATATTATCGTTTCAAATGCAGCAGTATAACTACAATAATGAACGATTTTGTTTCTATTTATATCTTTTTAGACTATTCTCTTCAAGATTATGATATTTACTTTTGTAAATTGTCTTTTGTTTAACAATTGGTATAAAAATTTATCTATGTCAAAAAAGTACAGGTTGTTGTAAATTTAATGTTGACCTATACAAGTATTTCAAATAAAATGTAGACAGTTAGGTGTTGAAGATTTATTAATTTTATTTTTTTATTAATTTTTTTAGAACAAAACTGAAAAAGTTTGCTTCTTCACCTAATTTCTAATATTCAATGTTTTATTCAAGCTAAACCCTCAATCTTCTTCAATATGATTCTTTGTAAAGTTGTTTTTTTTTAATTTCACAATTGTTGAATAAACTTTCCAATTGATTTGATATCGTTCATTTGAAAATCTGAAGAAAGAGCTAAGTATCTTTTGCGAGTCAACTATTGAAATTATTAGGAGAAATGTACAAAAAGCTTACAATTCTTACATTTCTCTGTCATGTTTTATCAATAATTCTTTATATCAGACTAAAAATATCAACTATGATTAGTAAATAAATAAATAAAAAATTATTGAACACATCTTTAAAAGAACAATAATATTTAATTTTAAATGAGTATTGGAAATGTATACTTACAATTATTCAAAATGGCTGCAAAATATTTTTCAAATAAATTGATTTCTTTCACAAAGATAAGATAATATGTGATCAAAATATTAATACAGCATTAATCTAGATTATATTACATATGAAATGACCTCTTTAAATCTAAAATGATAATCTTTTTGCCAAATATAATTATGAAAAATAGCTTAACTTTCAAAGTAAATTCTTTCCAAAGTGAAAGTTAACGTCAGTTTCTTCATTTTAAAATGGCTGTCATTTCATTTTTCAACATTGCCTTTATTTTTTTTAGGTTTCATTGTTATAATTCAAAATAATAAAATTAAAAAAAGCTATGTTTCTAAGGGTACGGTTTCAGCTGCTCCCGGTTCACCTTTGAGTTTTATTACTATTTCCGACAAAGTGAAAACGAAGTTCTTGACTCGAAGTTGAATATAGATGCCAATTTAATCCAATTATGCAATTGGCTAAAAGTATCAAAAGGTCAAAGTTCACTTATGTGAAACCATATTTAGAAGTTTTCAACTGTGTTAGATGTTACTTTGTAGTTACTGAAATGTTGAAATGTCGACAGTCATATTTCAATAAATCAATTGTTAACTATTGAAACAGAACTGTCCAATATCATATATGGCACCATCGTCGTAAGATTACTGTGACTACTAGGAACCTCTCTTCAGCGTAGCTATTGTTAGCCTTTGTCTACCGCTATTGACAAATATACGTGGGATTAGCTTCAGGGTAGGCCTATGAGAGAATAAATTGTTGGACTACTCAATTATTTTTAAATTCCTTAAAAATTAAGGTTAAGAAGCATAAGAATGTGCAGTTAATTGACACTTTAAAGATTATTTTCTTTCGAGAATGTAGGTCAAAGGACTATTAAATGAGTATATTAAGAAAAAAGATAATGATGAAAGTTATAGATGACATTGCATGTATGTTAAGACAAGAATATAAAATATGTATATATATACTAACTACAATTTTCTTCTTTCTCATAAAAATCATAAAATGATGAAAATGTCAATAAAGTAGGATTTGTATATCTTGCACCACTATTAAGATAACAAGTACCAGTTGAGTTTCTATAATCGAACGATCTAATAAAGAGATTTCAACACTTTATTTTTAAAAATTGGTAAAATTTATGTAAAAAATTTAGCAGAAAATGTCCTTTAATTTTTAGGTCTAGCCTTCAAATTCCACTGTTCTTAAAACCCTTAGTTAATATATTTTCCAGAAAATATCGTTTCCTGACATTTCTGTTCAACCTCATTAAAAAAATTGATAAAAAAAATAAAACTCACTTGCACGCTGCATTTCTAGAACAGTTCTTTTTACAATTTTCCACACTTGCTTCAATAAATATAGTGCCATCAAGGTCAGAATTGGTAGTTGCAGTATGAGGTATAAATCTACCAGGTAAAAACTGGTATGTACATGCTTAAAAGAAATAGAAAACGAAATATATTGGTTAGAAAGTTTTTGAAGTTTTGTTTTATTAAAAAACAAAAATTTCATTTACATACTTGACAGAAAAACTGGATATTGATGGAAAAGAGAAATTACAAGGATTGTGTGCCACATTCTTGTATAAAGTAAAAATTACTGTATCTCTCTCTCTATATATATATATATATATAATATATGATTCTTTTTAAAAACCACCTTAATTAATTTTTAATAATTATTAAATATTTCTACACCGGAACAAACTGTACATTAGTTGTTAAGGTCACTATATAGGACTCAACAAATTTCTTAACAGGCTACACTATTCCTTTTTAAATTGGTTGCAAAATTATTAATATATAAATTAGTTTAAAATTTTCCCGCTGGAATTAATTTTTGATCCAAAGCAACAAATTCTAGTTTTTAACCTTAGTGTAATTACATTAATTTACTTATTGTTGACTAAGCTGTAATAGAAATAATTAACAAAATTCAATATGCCATTAAGTATTACATATATTGCTATAAACAATTTTTAAAGCATATAAAGTGGACGACATGTATATATGGACATCATAAATTTTGATTGGCCAATTTTTAATTAATGGTTAAAATTGTTTGCCCACTGTAAATTAGTATTATCTTTACAAAACTCATGTATTTTCATAATGAATATTTTCTAATTTGTTATTTCTTTTGATTTTTTCAGAAATCTTTTGTATAATCTAAAAGAAAAATCAATTTATTTTAGAAATATTCGTGTTATTCTTTTTAATTTTTTGTTTTTACCGTATAAGCAATGAATTCAATAAATTCGATAATTGTTATAACAGATGCTCCCAAAACAAGTCCCATAAATCCACCAACTTCAGAGAGCAAAGATAGAAAACCAAATTTCTCTTGTTGAGTAATCTTTTGATAATTCATCTCTTTGTAAAAGACATCAACTTTTGCAAAATTCTTTCTGCAATTTGTATTCATTTTAAAAACTTGGATAGAAAAAATATTAATAAAAACTTACAGGAAAAAATCATTATTTATCTTATTAATTTCATTAAATTCACTTATAAAAATGTCAAGGACATTGTACTTGTATTGAATTTCATCAAAAGATTTGATAACTACTTTTGGAAGTTTAAGTCCATATTGTCCAATTGCATTTCCTAATTGTAAAAAGCAATCACTCCAGCTATATTGTAAAACTTTTTCCAGTGCTTTTTCAGAACAATTGTGTTCAATACTGTACTCATCTTTAGAATTGTTATATAAAATATAAAATTCATTGACAAGTTTGTAATCCATTTTCAAATTGACAGCATTTTTTACAGGATAAGGCCATTTGAGATTACTTTTTACTGACACTTCTAATAGCCTTAGTTCATTTGCAATCTGTTTAACATTCTTATCAAAGAGTTTAAATTGTTTATTAGTACTTTCATAAAAACTTATCAAACTCTTTATATCAATGAAAAAATTTTCCACTTCAAACATTGCACTTATATTGAATTTTGTTATTGATGAATTTTTATCTAAATACAATTCCAGTAGATTAACTTTCGAAGAAACATCCCTATGAATAACATGTATTGAGTTTAATTCTTCTTCAAAATCTAGTGAATTTCTATAGAATTCTGCTGATGAATTGTTAATTTTCCAAAGTTTTAAATGAATTGGTGTAAAAAATTATACTTTTCTTTTAATAGACAAACAGATTGGAATTTATTATTATTAAAAATTTGTTCAATTTTAAACAATCCATTGATAACTTTTGTAATTCTTTCACCAATTTCAAGGTAAGTTATATTATCATTTGTACCATTGAATTGTAATAATTTCTGTTCAATTAATAATTCTGTAAAGAATGGTTTACAAGTTGTATTGTAAGGTAATTCTGGATTCATTTTATCCATTCCAAATATTCTTTCAATTTCACTTATGTATTCTTTTTGAAAATTCAGAAGAATTTTTGAATTAGCAAGAAAATAATTTTAAAATAATTTGTAGTGTCAAACATTTGCCTAAACATTTCATATAATTCTATTATTTTAAAAGAATGCATTGCATTTTCAATTCTATTAAAATTCTCTGCCAAATTGATAATGACTCCATTAAAGCTACACAAATTCCCTTCATACATTCAGTAGATTTATAAATTTTATGAGTATCTTTAAAATATGCTAAAAATATTTTCATATCTTTTACAAATGGTTTAATAAATTTGTAATTTAAGTTATATTTTTTTTCAATTTTCTTTTCTCCAATTTCTAAAACATTCAGATATTCTTCTTTTAATGTTTTCATTCTATTAGAATTTCCAAGTATTACTTTCTCAGCTTCAAATTGTGATATTGCTGTAAATGATAGATTTGGTTCATAGATAATCTGTTTACATGGAACTGAACAGGAACAGTTGTTTTTATCCTTTTTTATCTTCTCTAATGATAATCTAACACATCCATAATTCTCTGTGATAGAACATAGCCTTTTATAATTTTGACTGCGTTCTGTTAAAGTTGCGCTTTTATTCCAACTAATGTATTCATTCCAGCAGCTACTGCAAATCCTAAATCAGACATAAGGGGTCTTTTATAATCATCGTGTAAGAATATTTTAACACCAGCATCATTATCAGGTCCAGGCATGTATTCGTATTGTTCAAGATTCAATAGAAGAGAAAGAGCATTATTCATTCCAGATTCAGTAACTGTTAAAGATTTAGGTGGTTTTAAAAATGAAGGAGAATTGAATGTATAGCATATTCCCTAGTCAATGATACTTTTTGTAAAATACTCTACTAAACATTTTTCACCAGCCCTATCACAATTGAATATCAAGTTTGATTGTTTATGTCTAGAAGTAGAAGTAGTATGAGTAGAAACATTGACAGCAGACACATTTATACATGATAAATTGCTGAACATTTTTTCAAAAGTTCACCAGCACAAATATCACTATTTTCAAATTCATCCCAATATTCATAAATTTTGCATGTTGGCATAGATTTTTTTTTGTACCTACAACTCTTTTTTTCTGACAGTAGCTTTTGATAAACATCAATTAGATCACTTTCTCTCTTTAATTCATCTGCAGTGCAATAAAATGAAGAATTTTCTTGTAAATTTCTATTATATTTGTTGTGGAAGCCTTCCAAATCATTATTTGTTGGAATAGCTCTCTTAAACACTGATCAATTATTTGGTGACCAGAGACTATTGTATATCCATGTTTCCTCCATGTATTTAACAAGATCATGTAATTTGTCAACCTCAGTTAAATATCTTTTAATCTTTTTAAATTGATGCTGAATGATATTACCATACCACTCTCCTGTTTTATTTTTGTAGTCTCTACTCTACCCAAGCTCCTATTGTTTTTTCAAGATTACAAATTTCAAAGTTGTGCTTAAAATCATTACCTTAATTTTTCTAAATACAGCCTGAGACCAATGAAATAAACATCCATTTATTTCTGCATTTTCCCAAACAGACAAAATTGCTCTGCAGATTGCCTTTTCGAAATCTATTACAAATCTTTTTGGCTGATGATTATTTGTTAATTCACAAACTGTCTGAAAAATTTACAAAGAGTAATTAATAAAAGAATTACTTTAGAAAAACTTTGATCTTACTTGAAACAATAGTTCAAAGGTTTTTTTTTTTAGGAGACATAAACACAGTTAATAGTGGTACTTGTTTCAATGCATCATTTTTTTCAGAAATCCATGGATGGAGAATATTTGTATAAAAGGATTATGAGCATGTTTAAAAGTCCCATCAAGAAACCATGTTTTTGTTGAGGAAAGAAGTTCAATTTGCTTATTTGTTGCAAATATTATAATTTGAAAGCCATTTTCATTTACATCTTTTCTTAGAAATCTGTCATGTAAAAAGGTATGGTTTAGAAAAAAATTAATACCATCTGGTTCTCTTGGATGAATTTTTCTTTTGTGATAATTCACAACTTGTACACTGGATGTTATTTTTGGTAAATGTTCTGCATCTGTATGATTTATCAAAACCTCTTCTGCAATTCTTCTTCCACTTAGTATTAGATTTTCTTTACTTTTGGTTTTTAAATCATTTCTTATCAACAGCTTCTTTTCATTATTGTTATTTCCCAAATGTATGTGCTCATTTACCTAATGTAAAAGAAGGTCCAGTTTGATTGAAACTGGCAGGATATTGCTGATTTTTATTTTTTCTCCTGCAAATCCATACAGTTCTCTTCTTTGTTCTAAATTTTATATTAAAAGAAAAGCCATTATGCACTAGTAAATCCTTTTCTTTCTGATTACCATTTTTTATAATTTCAAATTTATAGGAATCAAAGAATTTAATACTGGATGGTTCTTTTTCAAATGAGCTTTCTTCAATGTACACTTACCAACTATAGTTTATAGATATTTTATGAATAATACTTACCATATGGTAGAAGTGTTGAAGTAGATGTTGCCTCTGGGATAGATGGTACCGAAGTGCCAGAATCAACCCCTTTTATAGGCAAAGGATAAGATGTTACATAACAAACATGTTGACAACAACAACAAGTGGTTATTTACATAAATATGATGTAAGAATTGACCCTTGAAAGGTAACCTACACAAAGTTGTTGTTGTTTACATCACTACTTCATAATTTGATAACCCTTGACCCTGTTTGTTGTGAACAACCCTTATCTGGGGTTAGACCCTTGTTGTTGACAGCTAAGGCATAAACAACTGATAAGGAATTGTGTAAAAGCAGGGCGTAGGTAGTAACAGGTATTCAGTCCTGAATCAACTCCCTTAGTGAACAGGTCTAGCATTACTTTAGAATACAGTTATATTATTCTTATGTTTTGGTTCTATATTCATCCTCCCTTGATTCTAGATCTCTCTTCTAAGTGGCTTACTTTTTTTAATAAAAAAGACCAAACCCAGATAAAAAAAATATAAAAAAGTAAAGTATATGATTTAATAATTTTAATCATAGGAAAGTTTATTGTTTCAAATCTTGTAATAGTTATAAACAATAAACTTAATGTTGATAATTGAATTGAAAAACTTGCAAAACATCCAATAATTGAACAACTGACACTATTTCTCCATTTATAATCATTTTCTACATATTTATTTCTAAACATTATATCAACTATTCCAATTGAAATGAAATACAATGAAATATTCAAATCTGCATATGACAAACTCAAACGGAAATAATTTTTTGGTTTTTTTGAAAAGATTATTGAAGAAAAATTTTTAATGAATGACATAATGCCAATTACCCGTAAAAGAATACGTATTAATTTTGATTATAATAAATCAGAGCAAGAATTGAATAATGACTCATTTGGTTCACAATTTTTTATATTTTTTGAATATTTCCATGCAAAACAACATAATTCAAAATGTTCACTTGAAAGATTTACTAACATTTTCAATTTTTTAATAATATACCTTCCATTTTCCATACGTACAAAAGATTTTTGTAATGAGAGTGATATTAGAGAGACAATATCAATAAAGGAGTTATTATCAATCTGTTTGATTTTACATTCACTTAAATCAAGATATTGAAGATTTTTACATTTGCGAAAAAGTTCATCTGATATTATTGATAAATTAGTTTTTGATAAGATAAGCTGTCTTAGTTTAGGAAAAACTGTATATGTAAAATTTCCAAAAATTATATTATTACTACTCAGATTTAAAGTCTGAAGCTTTTTTAATGGGGATTCCAACATTGTATTTAAACAAATTAATTTATTATTTTGAATATTGAAAAGAATAAATTGGGAAATTTTTTGGCAACTTCATCAACATTAATCCTACTTAAAGTTACTGTGACATGCGTAACAGTAACATATTGTTCAAGAAAAAAATGTTTAAAATTTATTCCTATTTGTGAAAGGCAAATACTCTTCCAAAAATATTTCTGACTTTTATTTAACCAATTGGAAGTTGTTTGTTTTTGGTTAAAATTACAATTTAAAGCATAAAATGACTGACAAATACAATTTTCGGGACATTTGAATATTGCATTACAGTATAATTCATCACTTCCCAGAAGACAATCTACAAATCCATTACATACATCTGAGAGAATAATGTAAAATTTCTCATTTCTACATTTGAAAACACCTCTTGGTTTAAAATTTTCTGATTTTGTAAACAAATAATAATAAAATATAAAGATTTTAAATATACAGTATATAAAATGTTAATTTCATTAATTAAACACAATCTCTTTCATCATCATTTTCTGGACAATGTAAAATACCATCGCAAATTTGTTTTATTGAAATGCAATAATTATTTAATCTACACAGATATTCACCAATTTCACATTTTGAAACATTATAACCTCTCAATGCAAGAAATGGATAATCTGTCTTTTATCAAAATTAGAGAAACAAGCAAAACCTGTGAACTTTTTCTCTTAGCACCTTACTGCCAATCCATAAAAACCAGAATCTTGAAGTACTATTTCACAACTGTAAAGTCATTTTTCAAAAACATGGCAATCTTTTAAACTATACAATACATGTTTTTGTTTTAAAAGACTAAAATCAGAGCACATTTCAGGTGATGACTAGAAAATTCAAGGATTTGTCAACATTTATGTAATTACCATATGTATGTTATTACTTTATCAGATATTGGGAAAACTTGAAATATAGGATTAAGTATTTTGTTTTGGTTCCAACACAGAAGTAATGCTACTTTTTCAATATTTTCAGAGAGTGCAAATCCTAAAGGACTAGTATCAAATGATTTGGATTTTGCTATAAAAGTCGTTTCAGAATGTATATTATTGTCATAGAATATTTTATACAAGAAATCTGGTGTTGGTTCGATCTTAAAATCTAAAATTAAAAAATATATATTTCAAAAGCTTCTACATCCATCTTTTAAATAGACGTACCATTAATCTCCGGAAAATGACATGTAAATCCTTTGTAATTTATGTCAGGGATACTTTCTATTTTATTAGTAAAATACATGAACCCAGATATCAGAAATATTAGGCTGTTCTGGGCACGTTAGACAATAAAGAAGCAGCTGGTCTAGTGCACCAAGCACACATTCCCTGGCAAGAATAATGGTTATCCTCAGGGAGAGCTTATTGGGTGTTGAACGAAAAGACAACTATAAGAAGGATGATAAAAGAATGCCAACGATGCATTAGGTATAGATTGAAAATGAGGTATCAGAGAGGCAGCAATAAATCCTACACTTTCGAAATTGGAGAATGACTGGAAGTGATCTTATTTTTTGGGCTCGATTACTTCAGTCTGTTCAAGTTGAAAAAGGCTGTCAAATACTACGTGCTATTTCTTATACGTCTGCAGACAGGATAGTAAGGCTTTAGATTAATGTTTAAATCCATGGCCAAAGAGGATGGAAAATATCTATATCACCATATTTTTTGTCTGTTACTCAATAATCTTCTTCTCAGACTACGCTACAGTATCTCCAGGAAACGTGTTAGACATTATGTCTAATTTTTCCTTTTTTGGTATTAAATTTTTTACAGACTGTCCGTGTCTGCTTATGTCTTTTAATTAGGTTTTTGACTCTACACATTTTTGTTATGTCACGTTTAAACTTCGTTTGGTTGGACTTCACTTCTCCTGTGATGTGATATCAAGTCTAGCTGACCAACAATGATATGAACCCGAGTCACCTATCCTCAACACATGACACACTCTTATTCCTTCTCTGTCACATTCATTCATACTGACTCATTCTGATACGCAACATGCCTTTGTTTTGTTCATCATTTTTACTTTACTTACTTTTAGTTAATCTTTCTTCCCTGAAATGAAATATTTTCTCATTGTCTTATTGTGATGTTAGCTTAACTGGCTGAGTTATTGGTGGAAAAAAAGGGGCATTGATGACGAGAAAAGTTCTCAAACAACTACTAGAAATGGTATTTTGAAATTTGAGCGTTTGCTTATTTGCTTTTTTTCTACAGTCTGGACAATTAATTAATTCATTTCGAACTTGTAAATGTTGTATACATTTTTTTTTAAATGTATGTTGACGAGGAAGTACCCTGATGTCACCCTCCTTCAAGGATTCTAAAAAAAATACATAAGAAAGCTCTTCTTGGCAAAAGATGTATTCTTTAACGGCCGTCTTGAATTTTGGATTTACTTTTATTTTGTATATTCAAAATAAATTGGTCTCATTTTTTGTTAAATTTCTGATATTTTATATTTTATACAAATAAGAATTTTAAAATTATTAAAATTACTGTTCAGTACAACCTAAAGAAGGGATTGAAACATTCTTCAATGAGTGACAGATGGAGATCTGGTCACTCCAAGCAGATAACCAAAGCAGAGAAGAAAATTCTTGCTACATACAAAAGAAAAACCCCTTTTACTGAGCCAGACAAATGTCTACAGCAAATGGGCATGCCAGACAATGTATCTCCATCTTCTGTCAAGAAGATTCTATGCAAATATGGTCTGAAAATTTACGTGCCGAAAATGAAAAAAGGCCACTGATTTGCAAAGCCTGAGGTTGACCAGCCTGGCACTGCATGAAGTGAATTAATCCCTATGGTTAGACTTATTTCTTTTAAAATCTTCCTTATTTTATTCTATATGAAGGCAGCATTTGCGAAAGGGCTTTAGTTTTAGGCAGGTGAAATGGAGTTTACAGTATACTCTATCGAATTACTATATTTAAGGATAATAAAAACTGTAAATGATATTTTTGTATACCTTGTTCTCTTCAAAATACCTCTGTGTCCAGTTTTTCTTAAAAACGATCCAGTGCTCCATATCAATCCCTCGTCACCAAACTGATAAAGTCTTACTTGAACTCTGTTAAAAAGTCCGAATGCAGATATTCAAAGCTATATAACATTTTGGTTTGAGTATCTGCATCTTTTAAAGGTTCTCTTTCCCAAGCATTCTATTATGTTTTTTTTTATTCATCAAAAAGTTCTGAACACTTAAAAACTATACTACTTACACGTGGCTTAATATCTGAAAGAAGGTATGGAGCTAAACTTGCCTTTTCACGTTTTAGGCGAAATGTCAAATCCAAATGTTCGGTTAAACTAAGCAACCATTGGTAAAGATCTTTTTAATAAAACTTTTCAGACCAAATTTTGGGTAAGTCATCATGAAACAATTTTCCATTCTAAATTATGGAGAAAAGTATGATGAATAATTCAATGCAACTCCTATTGAAATAATTCTTGAATACAAACTTTAACTGCATTTTCTTGAACTGAAACAATACAGGCCATTTTATCCATAATTGAGGATTTATAATAACTTGATTCTTTAAATACTCATTTTGAAATAATAGAATGGATCCTAAATCATAATGAAATTCAAGTGCCTGATAAAACTACAGACCAAGAGAAAAAGAGTGAAAAAAATTCAAAACGTAAATCACAAATTATGTAAATGTAAACCTCGTCCTTATCAACAATATGACAAACTTCAGGAAGGTTAATGGCTCGCTTAATTGGATTTATATTTAAACTTTTGTTCTCACTGACAGAATGATTACAGAATAATTTTATTGAAAAGTGTATTAAATAATATATATTTTGCAAATTTTCCAAATACTCAATACTGTCATCCAAAACTTCAAAACTGAAATCTTAATTTAGAACGACTGTTTATTGATTCTAACTGCCTTAGAATTTTGAACGACTGTTTATTGATATGCTTTAAAACATTCCATGAAGAAATTCTGGATATTTTTCTATACATAATATCCTTGAATTCTTGAATTACATTTACAGTGACTGCAAGATATCTTTTTATAACATCTCTATATATTTGGATCACATTTCCTTCATCTAATCCAATATGACTCAGATGAGAAAAGTTGTCAAAATAAAATTTTTGTATGTAGCAATTTTTTTGTTTTGAAGAATGATAGCCTATCAATATGTTTTGAGACTCCAAGATTAAATAAGAACGTTCTATTGTTACATGTTTCATTCTACGTTGTATTCTACTCTTTTGTTTTTGGATAAAATGTCTATTTCAATTTTTTCTTCTTATCCCAAATTCACTAGCTTTTTGACCAATTAAATCCAGCTTTTATAGACTTATTAAAATTTATAAACCTTTTAATGGTCATTAACAAATTTAAATATCAAACCAGGATTTTTTCCAATTTCATCCTCAACATTTTTAGTATCATGATCTGTAAGGAAAGCTTGAAAATAGCTGGAAAATTCTTCCAAGTTATCCAAACACAGATGACTTCTAGTATTTAAAATATTTTTAGCATAGATAGGACAACCAAATTTTTCCATGTAGAATGTTATCTATTAAAACAGAGAAAAAAATTAAAACCTTTTAATTCACAACATTGCATACCCACTACCCATAACCACAACTTCACCTGATTTCTTATTATATAATCTTTGACGAATTTCTCTATATAGCCCATGTCTATATAGTTTTAAATGAAATAAATTTAAAATTAACTTCATATTTCTGAAGAGATTTTGAATCTGTACCGCTTCCTCTACAATAGGCAAGATTATCTCCTTAGCCTTTGCTACGATTTTGTATTCGTATTGATAACTCCTTTGTGCGAGGGTCAATAATCTATTAACTATTTCCTCTGATTTATCCTTTGAAACTTTTTCTTTCCAGATCATTTCGGATTCCAGTTCCTTTAAATAGATAAGATTTTCATTTCTGCTGGAGGATTGAATTCTTCGCTCTCTCAATAACGATTTTATAGATTCGGAATCACTATCTGAAAGGTCTAATTTGAAATCATTTCTTTTTCTCCTGACTTCTGAATTTGGTAGTTCGGAATTTATCGAATTTGCATCTTCGTAGTCTGCTAAAGGAGGAAATTCCTCTACTAACGATCTTTGCTCCAAAGCGTGAATTTCTTTTGATTTGAATTCTGTTTCTTTCATCCAAAATTCCGACTTAAAAGGCTTCTTTACCAACTTCGCTGTTTGGAGCCAACCATCATCTCTGTCCTCCTCTTTAGGAACATATCCTCCATCTTTAATACTTTCTTCCATTTTCTCTAACAAATTTTCGAGTTCGCTGAGATCTGAGGAACAATATGTTCCTACCTTTTCTCTTGTCCAACTTAAAATGTCCTTAATGTACCAAATTTTTGCCATAACATTGGCTCTTGAATGACTCCTTTTTGAGTAAATTCTTAAGAGGGGGGCTTTTTGATGTAACAATCTTGAAACTAACACACCTTTTAATTGAGATGGCAATATAGAATCTTCAAAATCATCAGAGTTTATATTCTCGCCATTTTAATTTTCAAAATTTTTTCAACAGTCAAATGTTCTTTTTTTTCAATGGTCCAACATTTCAACGGTCAAACGTTCTATCTTCCAAACTGTTATAATTACCTTTGGTTCTTGATTATTGAAATATTCTTTTCTACTGGACATTCCCAGTGATTCTTAACTCCCAATGGTTAAGATATTCTCAACTTTCGAACGTGAGGAACAATTTAAATTCTCCTTTCTGAATCGTCCCAAAAACGTAAAACTAAATTCAAAATTTGTCTTTTTGAGAACTTCGTCTTGTCTTTACTTTTGAATAAAGTAGGAAAGAACTTTATTATAATAGTTACCGTGAAACATATATCTTAACGATATATATTACGACGGTAAAGACAATTCAGCTACTGAACGTAGACCAAGAGCCACCTGGCGGGATTCTTACGTTACGTTTAAAAGATACATCGGCCCTCTACCGGCTATTACAAACGTTACTTATTGTAACTTATTCAACATCCACTATGTTTAAAGCTGATTTTTTATAATCATTTGTTTCTTTTATTAGTCCATTTCCGCATGGTGTAGTCAAACATTTCTGGAAGATATTAATGTAAAATATTAAGACTTTCTTTTTTTAAAAAAAAACAATAAAAAGCAAATTCTGATAATATTTTTTTTAATTTACAACTTACTGAGAAGTAGACTGATGAGATTTTTAATGAATATTCTACTGCAATTTCAATATTTTTCAAAAAGCTTGCCAATAGAGCGAATACACAGTTTTAAAAACTCTACAACATATCTTCAAAGATCTGCAATCCTCATCTTTTAAACAGATAGAAGCTTCAACTGGTCCACTGTGAAATACTATCCAATTATAATACATGTCACTGATACTTGTGTTGAGGCTATCTTGACCAAAAAGTAAATAACTATAATAAATAATTCACCAATGAGACAATTTACTTAATATTGTTTTAAATTTATAGATAGTTGAAACTTCATCAATATCTTCTTTTTCTTCAGAGTTTAGAATCAAAAAGTTACATTTGCATGAAACAAACTGTTAAGTGATTACCTTCATTATCTTCAATACATCTTTACCACAATATGTCAGATGAAGAGGAAATAATAAATTAGCCTTTGGGATTTTTAATGCTAATTCTAATTCTTGCAGAAAGTTGACAAACCAGTTTGGATTTGCTACAAACCATTCTTCAGTCATAAAACTTTTCAAAAGTACTGTGTCCCTAAATTTGAAAAACAGAATATTTCAGAGGAAATTCATCTCTAAATTTTGTGCCAACATACCAATACCATGGCCTAAGTTTAAGAGTTTGAAAAATGGGAATTGACATAGTTTTTTACTTAGACAATCTGCTTCACTTTCTGTCTCCAAATTAAGAAAATCTAATAGAATGATCAGATAAACATTAGATGTCAAAACAATTTAAAAATGAAAAAAAATTAAAGCATTGCCATAAATATTCATTTCCTTTATAAGGTCAGATGTGCTTACGAAGACCTGTTTATTTTCAAGTATCTTCTCAATACTTTCAATAGATCAATTAATAACATCACAAATAAACAAAATCTTCACAATTATATTATCTAGTGAATTTAAATGAAGCTTTTACCTCATAGCTCTTTTAAGCAGGAATATTAATAATAGAAATGTTAGGAGAATTATCACCTTTCAAGGTTGTTTAATTCTGATAATAATTGAGTTAAAGCCATTAAATTATGAATATTGTTTTTGTCGTTGGATTTGAGTTTTGACAAATTTTCATCACTTTTTTCAAAGAAAATTCATTAATTCTTCCATAAAACTATTTCTACAATTACTGATTTAAATATTATGAAAATACATGAAATTTTTAATAATAGTCTTTTCGAAGTCTTGTATTATAGTCTCAATCTTAGAAATTAAGGCATATGTGACTGATACTTCATTAATATTTGTTCCAAATCCTAAAAATATTATAACTCCAGAGTTTTTGGAGTCAGATTCTACAAAAGTTAAAGCAACATGATGAGAAAATTTATAATGAAAGAAAAGTAAAGGATTATATATTACCAAAAAAGTCCAATAATAACATCTATAAAATACTTTGAAAGACTTTCCTCATCACATGTCAAATTGAATGGAATGAAGAAAACTGATCTCTCAAGGGACAAAAATTGTACATAGTCCTACATGTGTAATAAGTGTTGAATAAGTTTATGCTGGGTAACATCTTCAACAGCCAACAGAGGGCTATGGTCTTTTAAAACATAATAATCAAAACGTAATGACAACACTCGCCAGGTTGCTCTGACAAGAATATGATTCAGTAGCTAAATTGTCTTCACCACTTTAACATTCTCTTTAAATAAATGACTATTAAAATAAAGCCTATCCTGCTTTATTCAAAAATAAGAAAGAAGAAAGCGAAATGAAAATGACCTAGATTGAAATTTTAAAATGTAATCTTAATTCATAACATTCATAAAATATCCAATTTGTCATTTTCCAGTAATTTAAAACACTTATACAATATTCTACTTTCTGATTTATAATTAAAAATTAAAAATTAATTCTTTCAAATGTTCTCACATTATATCCAGTATTCTTCTTGTCTTTATACAAACTATGATATATAGTATTATAACTGCTTTTTTATTATTGCAGTAGGATAAATGCCATTTGTCAACATTATCTGGGTCTAAAGAGAGATGGGGGAGTAAGGAGGCAAGGGAAGAGAGAAAATACTTCAAACTTACTTCAGAAAATTTCGCAGTTTAGCATTAACGCGAAAGATGTTTTTAAATTATCTATGAAGAAACACCAAAGAAATTCAAATGCTAAAAATAATAAATTAATCTGTTACAAGAATCTTTATGATACAACAAACGTTACTTTTAATAGAAAAGTAACATATTCTGGAAATAAATCAAAAATTATTAGTTACAGTCTTCACCTTTGCGAAGTGGAAATATTTTCTCGTGAATAAGTATAATATAAATTAACTATATCTCAATTAGTTTTATTTTTACAGTAAATTTAGCTTTCAAAAAACCAGTTTTATCCAAATTAGCAAAAAAGAATCCATATAATTTAACAAATGGCCTAATTAGTAATTATGTATCATTTCACCTTGGAATTGATCATTGGCTAGCAAATAATCTTTTAGCTTTAATGTTTTCCGTTTAGATATCAAACCGAGCTTAACTTTATTAAATTCATTTATAAATTTTTACATTGAAGTAACCAATGAAAATCCTGCTTCAGCCTATGATACAATAAATTATGAATTTTGCGGAAGAAAAAATAATAGTCTATTAACTACTGATGCATATTACACAATTTTATGCTCTAAAGGTGGTGTCAAAAGGTCAATTGGTTGTCTTTCGTAGTAATCGCAGCCATTAGGCAAGTATTTCTTTTAACGAAATTGAAATATTTGGATATTTTTTAAGACTTCCCTATCAACAAAATACGAATATTCTCTTAAATAAACCGGTATTGTGTTCTTCCAACTTTAAACACGAAAATGGAGGCTCTAGACTAACAAATGGAAAGATTTATTTCATAGCAAAGGAGAAAAATATCCCTGGACCAGAGTAGATCTACTCGGAATACACGTAATTCATAAAATGGCTGTTACAAACAGAAATCGATATTGTAATGTAATTTTTTTTAAGATAAAGAATTATTTATCAACATGATAATCAATTACTCTTTCTAGACGCATTTAGAACAAAAAACACAACAGGAATTGTGTCTAATTATTCAGAATTTTCTATAGAAAATCAACTTTTAATTTCTCAAATTTGCTTTAATAATAATAAGAGAGAACTTGCATTAATTCCATTTGTACTTTATTGTAAATATGAAAAGTACATCTCCGCAAATAGAATTTATATATGAAGAATTTATATATGAATTATGCATTTCTTCTATAGATTAAAAATAAACAGGTTGTGTACAATAATGTAGTATACAGTGAATGTTAATTTGTGTACTCGTATGATGAAACAACAAAAAATTCATAAAATTAATTATTATTTGATACTACAGAAAAAGGCCCTAGATGTATAGTTTTACTCTAACCATCCCTTGGCTATGTCTAACCATTTTCAATATCCCAAACCTTAGATGGGCCTCTGATACCAAAAGTTGTACACACCAGCTTCTTCAACTAATGAGATAAAGACAAATTTAAGGCCTTTCAAGAAGATATTATTATAGAAAAAAAAACTGTTATCCGCAAACTCAAATACACAATAGTGTGATGAATGCAAAAATATCACTTTAATCACATCATGACATGAAAAATGCACAATCAACACATGACCTCATGATTATACTTATTAACTTTTAATAAGAAAATATTAAAAGAAATAATTAAGAAGAGAAAATTATAGCACCGTTATTGATAAATGAGGTTACTAACGTTCCTTTTATCTGTTTTAAATCTGCATTTATACTTTTATGCTGTTTTATTAAAATTGATACTATCTTTTGAGTTGAAAAACAAATTACGCTTGATGAATATCCTGGTCCAGTTAAAATGTAGAGTATTATCTGTATATTAAATTAAAAGTTAAAAATAATATTTTATTAAACATTTTTATTTTGACAACGGCGATGAAAAGAGTCTATAGCTGATTTCTCAAAACCAATTATTTTTTTAAATCTTCCTCACAATACTTATAAACATTATAATAATTGACATTTATGGTTTTCCAAACCTTCCTCCAATCCCATAATATCTTGTAAAGTAGTCTATATTACTTATCTCTTGGATTCTCGCTCAGTTAAGCGTTATCGTAGCCATATGGAATAACTATTCTATTGTTATTTTGACTAATAATGAATGAAATTATTGTCTATAAGAGAAACACAGCAGTGATTGCTCTGCTTTTTGTTTCCCATAATGAATTATAACTAGCCTATAATGAATTATTCTTTATACTATAATAATTTATTATATAAGGGAATTACACCTGAAAAAAGCCCCACAATATTTTTTCCAGTTAGTCTGTCACTATTCAATTATTTGAGATGGATATTATCAAAAACATTTTCGTGATGCCAAAGTACTAGTATTTGTATTAGACCATTTATATTTACTACATGTTGTACAGCAACAGCTTAAATTCAAACATTGTTGATTAACCAAAAAACGAAAAATTAGCTGTAAGGTGAACAATTCATATTTGAAGAGAATGACTTTAAGCATTATGGCCTATCTTAATGTAAAAATCACTTCTTGCGGATGTTTTATAATTCAATCCACTAGTTTTAGCTTCAAACTTGATATAGCATACCCTCTTTTCTGGGTGGTAAACAAAGCCAACACAGCGAGTATTTGAATCACAAGTTTCAGAGCATAAAATTGGATTTGCATTTTTTAAACGCTTGATATCAAAGCCAGGATATTTTTTCAAAGGATATTTGACATACATATCCAATGCAGCTGTGTATTAAAATATTTTTTTCACAGTTCTTGCTTGTTGCAAGTATTTAAATACTTACAAGTAGGCCTTGATCTTATATACAAGTCAGAATTTGGATGATGTTTAAAGTTTGGCCCTGAAGCCTTGGAGACATGTTTCAGATAACAATATTCTCCAGTAAGATGATATAATACGCCAATACAATCCTTTGTTTTGTCACAGGTAGCAATGCACTCGCTATTTGCCACATTATTTATTCTTTTAATATCGAATCCTGGATAATCTTTAAAAGGATAATGAGTATATCCTTTAAATTTAACTGCAAAAATGGAAATTATTTAATTATTTAAAGCTAGAATGTTTCTAAAATTTTACAATTTATGCACTTGTATTGTACTCTTAAATTCTTTACAATTCCTTTGCAGGGATCTGTAAAAACGCTATTTGTTGCTTCAATTTGACAGTTTTGTTTTCCATGACAAAGCTCAATAGATTTGGACTTGGATAATCCTGATACACAATTATTTGAAAGACTTTTTGAAATTTTTGCACACGATGATAAGTCATCTTTATCTCTTCCATATTTTGCTGTAAATATAAATATTCCAGTTCCAGTTGGGCACGAAAGTGTCATGGATTTGTGTTCACATACAAATTTTTCATCAATTGCTTTAAAAAATTGAATTGTTTAAATTTTCTCAAACATCTTAAAAAAATCTTATACAACTTGGTCCATCAATTCTAAGATATACATCAGTGATTCCAAGATCTTTAAAATTCGGACTAGAAGTTTCTATTTTACTTTTCAAATGGCAAATATTAAGAGTGTAGAGGAAAACAGTTCCAGAACAACCAATAGTTTTATCACAATATTTTGCACAGTCAATTGGATTTGATTTGAAATATCTCTTTAAATCAAATCCTGGATAATCTTTCAATGGATATCTTTTATATCCTTTACAGTTTACTGAAAAAAAAAGAGTATTTATAATTCGGAATCATAGAGTTATAAAGTTTACAGTTCGGTTTATCATTTCTCAAGTATAAATCAGTTGTTTTAAGGTCTTTAAAATTTGGTCCAGAAATTTCTATTTTACTTTTTAAGTGGCAAATATTTTGAGTTAAGAGGAAAACAGTTCCGAAACAGCCAATTGTTTTATCACAATATTTTGCACAATCAATTGGATTGGAGTTTAAATATCTCTTTATATCATATTCTGGATAATCTTTCGATGGATATCTTTTATATCCTTTAATACTTGCTGAAAATGATTAATATGTATGTAAATATATACATATATAGTCTATATACAGGTAAGTCACAGTAACACCTCAAAAAAATACTTAAAGAATAAAAATGAAAGATATTACTATAATTAATAATATTCTTCCTATCATTATAGAGAGAAAATATACATTTTTCATTTTAAATCTCCAAATTATCGATATTTTAATGTGGTAGGCCTATTTTCAATGGGAGCATAAAATAATTGTTATAATCAAAAAAATTAATCTAAAAAAATATAAAAAGTATTTTGTTTTCTTATTCTGACTACTATTTAACAGGATACTAAAGATTTTAATGCCTCAGTATTTTGTGTGCATACCCTTAGCCTCTATAACTGCACAAAGCCTTCTTTCTATTGTCTGGTATAAAAATTGAATTTCAAATTCTGAAATTATTCAAAATTCATCTCTGAACATATCCAACATGACTGCTCAAAATTTTGATAAAGTCTGAAGCTGTCATGCAATTAGACACTAAAGCTAGGTCCCTATCTCCATTGAATTTAATATAGCCAAATACCATGAACCATGATACTCCCTCCCCCAAATTTTACTGTTTTTGTTGTATATTTGGGGTCGTTCCGTTTTCCTGGTGGCCTCCTAACAAACTCCATCCTCCTGCAGTGCAGCTCAGCCTTTGATTCATCAGAAAAAAATACTTTTTCCAATTTTTAATCCCCCACTTTCCCTCTCTCTACAGAACTCTTTCCTACTTATTATCTGCCTCTAGGATAAAGCAGGTTTTTTGGCTGCAATCCTTCAGTTTAAATTATTTTTTCTTAATATTTGCTTCACTGTTGTTAGAAACAGAGATATAGGTATGCCAGGGTTATATAATACCTGATGGGCTGTCCACTTGGGGTTCGATTTAGATGCCCTGGTAGTTTGCCTTTCCATCTTTGGTGTCACTTTTTTTTGGTCTACCACTTCTTTGTTTATCTCTGACAGTCTTTAGCTTTTTAAATTATTTTTTATGTTTAGTACAGTAGTTGGTTTTGAATAAAATAGAATAGTCTTTATTTTAATAGTCACCATAATCATACATCTCATTTAAAGAGATGTATATGTGTTGAAGACAATTCAGCTACTGATCATCTGATAGGGAATGAGAGCCACCTAGCGAGAGCGTATAAACCGTTTTAAAATACAGCAAAGCCCTCTGTTGGCTATAACTACTATCGGACAACGAATCTTACGAAAATTCGTTATTCGTTTCATGAATTATTTAACAGTTGGACTACATTTAAAAAGCTTTGCCACTTTTCAAATGGACATTTCAGGGTTAGGGTTATTAAATATCCTTTATTTTGATTCTTTAAGTATAGAAAGAGAAAAATCAAGAAAATATATATTTTTTTAGGTTTTACAGTGACTTACCCCCGGTACTGTCTGTGCATTTGAGAAAAGTGATGGACAATTTAATATTGTTCTCTTACTATTTGGTTCTTGTATTCTGAAGTATAAATCAGTTATTTTAAGATCTTTAAAATTTGGACCAGAGGTTTCCATTTTACTTTTTAAGTGGCAAATATTTTGAGTTAAGAGGAAAACAGTTCCAAAACAACCAAATGTTTCATTACAATATTTAGCGCAATCAATTGGATTTGAGTTTAAATATCTCTTTAAATCATATCCTGGATAGTCTTTTGATCGATATCTTTTATATCCTTTAATGTTTTCTATAAAAATGATATAAACAATTGTCGGATAAGTACTTTGAATTTGAATTTTTTACCATTATTTTTCTTAAAATAAATATCTACACGTTCAGTAATTTTGAAATTTTCTCCAGATGGCTCTGCTTTATGTTTTATGTAACAACTTTTGCTATGTTTAAGAAATGCGAAAGCAACACAGTTGTCCTGCTTATTGCAATAGACAGCACATTCTTTCAGATTGGAATCCTTATATTCTCTAATATCAAAACCAGGATAATCTTTTCCAGTATAACCATCATAACCTATTTGGTGAAATAAGTGTATTTGACAAAAATGTATGTTTTTGTTGCCAACCTTCAAGTTTATCTAATTTAAGGAAAAAAATTCCGAGAGGATGACTTTTAAAATTAGGTCCACTAGCTCGACCTTCTCTTTTTAAGTAACAAAATGCTTTTGTTTTATGGTATTCAAAGGCTTTACATAAACTATTTGCATCACAAAATGTACTACAGGCTTTGTAACTGATATTTTCAAACTTTTTAATATCAAATCCAGGATAATCTTTGCCAACATACATAGTATAGCCAGAAACAACTGAAAAATTTTGATTTAGTATTATTAAAAATTAACTTTTGCTCATACATTTACCATTAGGACCAGTTGTTCTTATATATAAATCACCATTGATCCTCTGTATAAAATTTGAACCAGATGCAATGGCTTGTTTTTTAAGAAAACATGCTCTGGTTTTACTATTAATAACAAAACCTGCACAACCGTATCTTTTTTCGCATAGATCACGACATGCATTTCTATTCGATTTACCAATATGGGAGATGTCAAAGTTTGGATAATCTTTAAAATTGTAGAGCGTATAACCAGGAACATTCGCTGTTTAGCAGAATATTTTATATTTTAATATTAATCTTTAGTTTGAAATGTTTTGTCGTTTTTAAGTTTACCTGAAACACAGTTACTATCTACTCTAAGATATTTAAGTATTCCTCGACATGGATCACCAAACAGGTTATTCTTTGCAGGAATGGAGCATTTTTGTATATCATCACAAATTTCTATTGTTTTCGCGAATGACGTTGATGCTTCACAGTTTGTTGATGAAATTCTTGATGCAAATCTTCCTATAGATCCATTAGGGCACGTTTTTGTGTCCCCCTTATCCCTTCCATATTTTGCGGATACAATTCTAAGAATTTTTCCATCAGGGCAAGCTATGTTCAAATTTCCATGTTCGCAAATTAATCCAATATCTGAAACTGTAAAACAAATAGAGAATAAAGAGAAAATGCAAGACTTAATTAAACAAGAAACCAGTTTGAAAACACAGGTATACCTGCAATGTCAAGTTTTGTTAAAAATAAAATGGAAACTATAACATGTTTCCACATTTTGAAAAGCTGTTGATGGTGAAATGGCATTTGTTTAGACTTTATATAGACAGTTAGAGGAAAAAAATCATTAAAAACATGGTGCATACGCGCAAGAGGTTTTTGGATAAGAAATGACTTCCTATGATTGAACATGTTTTTTCTAAAACATGATAATAATGAGATTTTATTAACCTTAAGAAAGTATTCGGATGTAAATGTATTTAAACTTTTATCATTAAGATCTCTGATATAGAGGATAAAAATATAGTTTTTTTTAAGCTAAATGAGAGAGCCAGACGATATAAAAGTTAAAAATAAAGACATGAAATAATAAAATAAAAATAAGTAATGAAGTCATTAAATATTGAATAAGTTAATAAACTTGTAAAAATTTTATGACAGTAGATAAATACTGTTGACTGAACTACTACCACAACTACCACCATCATAAAATAATAAAACTTAAACAACTAAACATTTCTAATCTCACCATATGTCTGCAATATTTCTCTTATGTTTTTTTATATAATACGTGGCTAATATTTTAAATGAACGGAAGGGAAGTTTGTATGAAAAAGCTTTTTTTTGTAAGATATAAAGAAAAACATAAAAAAAATTTAAAAACTAAATGTATGAATATGGCATTCTTTCGGCCATTTCAATATAGTCAACTCAGCTGAGTTCAAATACCATTACCTAAATCTTACCAAAAAAAGAAGATAAAATGGAATTTTTATTTTAAGAAGCAAAGTAAAAATAGAACTTTTCAGAATTTTCTGATCCTTTTTTTTTTTTTAGAAATTTTTTTTAATAAAAGATAATGATGTAAAAAAAGTCAAATATACAATGCTTATGTTGGACTTGTCCTATTAAAATTGTTACATCTTATGTAACCTTCGAAATTGAACTATTATTTAGAAGAGGAAAACAATAGAAACATGAGCATATTTAGAACTTTTCTTTGTCTTAAAATGCTAGTTTTGTTTTTGTGAACATTGAAATTTGTGAACTATCAACCCTTAAAAGAGTATATAAACCCTACAAAATTACCAGTTGACAGTTCAGTTCTTCAACAGTTAGCTGGTTGTTTAAAATTGCCTGTTTAGTACTAGAAACTCATTTACTCCATATTCTTTGGATGAAATACATTATTCAATGCTTCTCTTCAGAGCTACCTAGGATAGATTTTCTTTCTTTCTGAGAGAAAAGAGTTTAATACATACTTTTAGAATTTATCCCGGAAGATTGTCAAAGCAATATTTTTGCTATTGGAGCTGAACCCTAAAGCTAATTCAATCATACCCTTCCACTTTTCTTTTCCTAAATCTTAGTTCAGATCCATCGAACAACAAAACTTTATTTCTTTGCCGAAACTGGATTTAACTGCTTCAGAGCAGTCAAGCGACAAACCTTTTATGGTACAGGTAAATGGTAGGATGAAGAAAAATGACTGACGACAAAGTTTATATAACCTTAAATATTCCCTCATTTTTCGTGTATATTAGATTTGTTAAGTTTTTCATGTGGAGGATCAACAGAAAACGAACCCAACTAGGATATTTGAAAGCAGTATTTCGGTTTGAAAAATGGTTTGCAGGAATAAAGCATCTATTGATTGTAGTAAGAGGGTTTCCAACTTAAGATTTGAGGGTAATAAAAAAGGTTATACAGAGACAAGGGAAGGGCTTTAAGTTGTCAACTCGGACAATAAATATCTATCTTCTTTTCATTGATTTATACAAGTTAAAAATGGGATCAACAGAATTCACCCTGTACAGTTACTTAAACTAAATAATATATTTAGACAAAACTTAATAAAATATATACTTTTTCTGTCACTTCTCTGGCCGACTTCTGCCATATTCCTGGGTTGGTAGTGGAAGAGTTTTGCCTATTTCTGGGCGATTTCTGGTCTGGGCGACTTCTGTCCTGGGCGGCTTCTACCGTATTCGTCAAAATTGATCTCTTTATCTCTTTAGATATCAGTTCATAAGGGGTTACAGATAGGATATAAAGAGAGCATTCACCTTAAATAGATTCTATAACCAATCTTTTGATGAATACCTTTCTTCAAATGGTTTTTCAGGATAAATGTTGTACAACTTAAAACTCTTAAGCAATCTCTACTAATAATGCTTGAAACACGGTGTTTAAATAGAAATTATACTCAAAGTAGAAGTATATTTAATTTGACATTGTTAAGTGAAATTCGGTCTATAAGAAAATTTTAGAATAGAATAAACAACAATCAAAGACGGTATCAATTCGGAAAATTTTTTGTAAGTTTTCTATTAATGAGATTAATTTTTGATGGCCCGGATTCAAAACATAAATCAAAGTAGAAATTTTACGAATTATTCAGGATTTTCAAAAAATCACTGATATAATCATCACAAGGGAGGGATATATCTGCTCAGAATGAGACTTACTTGTTTCTTACGTGTCCATTTGTTGAAAGGTCTGTTGTACTTTTCACAAGCATCTCAGCAGTCTGTTCGTCAAAGTCGAAACCATTTTCTTCAACACATGAATATTGCTTGTATTTGAAATTTTTGTTCTAGGTATTGTTAGTGAATTATCTGTGACATTTTGAAATATTCTTTGACCTTTACCAAAATCAATAAATACGTTTTCTTTTTTCAATCTGAGGATCCCATATTCCATCAATCTGTTGTATCAGGGGTTGCTACTATATTTATGACTCAGTACAAAAAATGAATGTATTGGACGCTGAATATTTTTGTAAAAAGAAAATTTAACATTTTCCGACTATCCTACACTAAACAAAAACTTTGTTATTTATTTTTTATCATATATAACACATATTCTTTATGAAGATAAAGATAATTTGGACAGTACAGACACAGACATACATATAGAAAATGGTAGTGAAAAAAAACAAGAGAAAAATTCCAGAGTAATACAGCAGATTATTAAGAAAATGATAGCAGACGGTGGAATTTACCAAAAGATGTTAGGATTATTGTAGGATCAATGGGGCATTTTGTCATACCACCATATAAGTTTGTTAATTGTAGGATGCCTTAAAAAGTTTTTAAACAGAGAAAGGTAGAAAAAAATAGAAAATATAAATTTCTCCACATATCACATATATTATTTAAAAAGGCTAAGGAGGTAAAACTTTTTAAAATCGCCAAAATCTTCTATTGCAAAAAAAACATTAATCTGTGATTGCATATTTTATATAATGTAAAAGTTCTATTGAAAACATCAGTAAATCAGTTCTAGTTAAATATATAATAAATATATAAAAAATCTTGTCATTAAAATTATCATTAGTTATATTAAACTAATCCAGTTAAATTTATTCCTGAAATGATTTATTGGATTTACAATCATAGCCTAATGTAAATTAACAGTAACAAAAGAAATAACATCTTCTTTTACCTATTTAGAAAATATTTACATTTACAAATTATAATTCCAAGTCTCAGTATCACACAAACAAAATCATATACTTATATTTGCATGAATTTGTAATAAACAATTCTAATCCAAATCATTAATATTACATTACTTTTTCATATATTCTAAAAGCTTTTTCAAAAGCCGAAATATCACTACACAAAAATATTTTCGTCTAAAGTTCTTAATAACAGCCATATGGAACAAACATTGTACTGTTACAATAAAATAGACCATATATGGATTTTATAAATAATCTAATCATTTTACTAATAATCTAAAAAGGAAAGAACTTTCCAACAACTTATACTTAACCGAGGGCGACTGTGTGACAAGACACTATCGTTCTATAGTTTGTCAAAGGATGCAGGGTTTACAAAGACAATTTCTAGATTGGTCCTTCAATTTTCAGAAAAGATAATAGTCTGATGGAGTGAGATCTGGGCTGTAGGCTGGATGAGGCAGCATTACCCATCCAGTTGTTTCATGATATTGGCTTGTTTGTAGGCTGGTATGAGATCTGGCCTTGTCTTGCAAAAAAATCACCTCTCTGCCTGATTCTATTTATTCTTTGTTTTAATTGCTTTAAAATATTGATGTAAATTTCTGAAATTATTCAAATATATGAATTTAGAAATTCCAGGTGAATAAGCATCCCTATCCCAAAAGATACATGCCACTAGTTTGTCTGCCTACCTACCTATCTTAACTATCTTTTTGATAGTTTTATATGCTATTCTAAAGAAGCTCTTTTAGTTAATGGTTCGTGATAAAATACCCATGCTTCATCTACTGTAACAATTTTTGACAAAAAACTCTCCTTCTTCACCATACTTTTTCTAGGAAATCTGTAGACCTTTCCATTCTTATGTCTTTCTTATCCCAAGTAAGTTGGTAGGGATCTGTATCAATCTTTTTCAATCCAAGACTTGCAATCAAACCTTCAAAAACTGAATGGCTTATATACGATGTTTGAAAATATCTCAGTCTATCTTATTCTCCTATTATCTCTGATTAGAGCCATAACTCTGTCCTTATTTTCATTGTTACTGGGCATCCTGATCTGTCTTCATCAAGAATATTTGTTCTTCCTCTTGGAAAGTTTTGTATAAAAATTTAGTTCAAAAAAAGGATGGTTTAAAGATGTTGAAAAATTTTTTATTTATATTAGAACTTCTCTTCTGGCAATTCAGCATTATCATATCAATAATTTTTCATTTGATAAACATGTAGATTGTATATTTGACCGTTTTTATATTCTACCTTAATAATGATATTCAATTGATTGAGTTAGTAAATTTAGCATCAGCATATAAGGAGGAAGTATATCTGATTAATGCATGTTAAGAAGAACAGTATTGTGTATACAATACTGTTGAATAATGAATATAATCTAAACTTAGAATTTAAGCATAATTGATAATTAATTGAACTAGTTTTAGTTCAAAATCATAAATTTATGGATTAATAAATTGTAATATTAATGCTAGGTTGCAAATAACAATATTCTGTATATAATTTAATAGGTTTTATTACTGCATAATGTGTATGCATTGCCCTACGCGAAACTAGGTCAATACTGCTTATCTCTTTCAGTGCTATCTGCATAGTACAATACTGGTTCAATACTACTTCTCTATTGTAGGGTAAGAAGAAGAGGTTCATTAAAAAAGAGTCACTTTGTATTTTATTAAGTATTTTACTTTAAATCTACCTTCAGACCCAGTTTTACAATTTATAAACAGAGATAGTGATAATATTTTATAAAAATATACTAATAATACTTTTAGATTTTGTTAATATTTTGATGACTATCCGTATTTGAAAGACATAGTTTTAGTCTTTTTTTAAGAGTGAGGATGCAAACATATCTTCGGGGGATTGAAGCCTACCTGATATCTGAATTTAAGTTTAATATCTTTGTTATTTATATTCCCTAACCGTAAACTCGAGCCCCTCTAACAATAAATTCATCCATATTTTCAAACTAACCCTTTCCTTAAATGTAATATTGAAATATTTGCTAACAGGTATGTTCGTATATCACAAGTTTTTATTAGGATTTAGGTCTTTTGCAGTACTTTCATCCATTAGATATGTGTCTTTTTTTAGGGGTTTGTTACCATACAGCCTCTCAGGTTATGTTTTCTTAGAATACTCTTGCATGTTGAGAAAGATATAACTGGTGCAAGATTAGAGACTGATAAGATTTTTTTCCTCCCCCGAAAAAATTTCTGCTTGATATTAGGCATAATATCCTCTCATCTTGCTCATTTAATTTGTGTTATCTGCCTTGCTTGGTCATACTTTAGGTTCATCTTTAAGTGCCACTTAAGGTTTGCCCAAGTGGAGATTTCCTTCTACCGTTTCAATATTAGACACTAGTTTGGTACTTGGAAACCTGCTATTACAAACTACCTACTTTGCTATTGAACTTTTAGATTGTTACAAGCTTAAGTATTTTATTATAAATAAAACATTTGAATTAACACTTTCATTAAAGATTCGAGTAGAACCAGTAGTGTTGTAACTTGCATCCGCATAAATTAGCTCAGCAAGAGCAGTACAATGTTATAAAAATTATTTGATACTCATTTAAAAACATCACTTATAAAATTTCCATTTTTCAGCATTCATTAAAGGATATATTACATTTTTGAGAAGTTATTGCCTCTATTCAAAAAATCCTTTTAATTTTAAAGTAACAATACGTCAACAACAAATTTTTAAAAGCATTTTAGATGAAATTTGTAGAAAGTATTGTGATATTATAGAGAAGAATTTATCCATTTTGTACAAACTTTAATGTAGTTCAAATGTTTTAAATTCTATTAAGAAGTAGCCAAGACTTGATCAAGTTGTGATTTGGAATCAATATTGTGTGTTTGATTGCTTTTTAAATTATAAAATACATTTTGAAAAAAAGCCTTTTTGAAATATTTTTTATCTCTTCATTTATGCAAGAAAACGTTATATGAAATAAGATTTGGAAAGTATTGAAAAAATGATCGAAAAAAGGTTGAATTTGACTATTCTTAAGTTTTGGATTAGTTCTAAATTCTCACAATCAGTGATTGAAATTATTGTTACCAAAATCATTACATCAAGTGAAAGATTTAATCACATGATATGTAGGATTTTGAGATTGAATGCTTCTTCTTAGCCGATGGCCTAAATATATCCAACCTCATTCAAAAAAAAAACAAAGCTACTATCAATAAAATTTTAACTATTTCTAACTATACAAACTCTTTAGTTTGTCAAATTTAGAGAATATTTTTATAGATATAAAATTTATAATTGTTGAGATGGTAACCAATGATCTTTGTGTATGTGTTTTTTTTATATAAATATTGTGTTAGAATGTTGAAAGTTAAATGAAAATTCATATAATTTTTTCTTACTTACGTTCTTTATCATATGAATGATATTTGATATCATTATGGATATCTGTTAAATCCTTTTTATTCTTTGAAAACAGAAAACATTTCATAACATCAATTCCCATTGTAAATGATCTGAAAATGATTATTCATTACTTCTATTTTTTCTCTTAATTTTAAAACAAATGTTTTTTTTACTTGCAATCTGACAAACTATTACAAGATTTTTTACAAATGCTATAATTTGCAAAAAGCTTTAAGAAATAAGATTCTCCGAAATCAGTTAGCTCTGTTTTTATATAGGTCCAATCTAATAAATTTTAAAAAAATTAGCAAATTTTTATTTTAATAAGAGAATGTAACCTTCTTCAATAGCTGGTTCTGAAAACAAAGAGTATTAGTTTGCCAGAATAATGACATTTATCATTTTAGTCATAAAATAAAGTTTGCTATGAAAATAAACTATAATACCACAGTTAGTTGGTTTGTCATAATATGAATATTGTGAATGAGATCCATAAGAACCTTCATTCTTTTCTTTGTTGCATAACAAACATTGCAAATTTGTTGGATCATTGGTAAAACCGCTGTAAAATTAAATTTAAATAAAAAGAAAATTATTTTAAAAAGACAAAAAGAAAATGAAAACAATTTACTTGCAAATTTCAATGGTATTACATATTTCTTCACAATTGTAGATGCCTTTGGTATAAACTGTAGCCAAATAACCTCCCGTCAAATATTTATTAGGTTCACTGACATAGTTGCAATCTAAATAAAAAACAATTGGTGTTAAATATTCCAAAAAATAGTTCACAATATTTCTTTAAATACTTGAAAAATTGGCTAATTTGAATTGGTGACTAAAAAGTATATATGATATTAAGAATTGAATCATGCTACTCTTCTTCATTACTGTCATTGTTCAGAATGAATGTTTAATGCTTCTATTTTCTCTGCTAAAATAGTAAAATATGCAAAGTTTTCTTCTAAAAGAACATGCTAATGACATCGGTTTATAATAAAATTTCTATTAAAAGATAGTGAAGCGGTAAGACAATAGTAGATTAATATATTCACATATATAACAATAGATTTTTCCCCACAACGTCAGCCAAATTCCAAGACAACCATTATAACTTGTTGATTTATTTTTGTCATTATAATATAAATGTGATGTCAATGTTGGAAGCTTAATATAAAATCCTTTTGAAAGTCAATTGCTGACTCCTGCTTAGTGTCTTGCTATTCATCATTAAATTATATAAAGCTGATTTTTAAAAGCAGATGTAAATGTCAATGGTTTAGGCATTCATAATTAGTGAAGGAGAAAGACAATAAACTAAATTAATGTAGTCGTGATATGTATAAAAATAAAACAATAGATTGTCTATGATAAACACTAAAATGACCTTTATAATTTATTGATAGTTTTACTTTTGTCATAATATTTGAAAACATAAATTTAATACTGAATAGACTTAGGCTCAATGATTGTACAGACTGTCTTATTGACAGTATTCTCACCTTGTCTTATATCTGTTGAGAAGAGGCTAATTCTTACGTAATGTTACTTTATAATTAAAAGGATTTTTTTGAATAAAGGCAATAACTTCCCAAAAACGTAATATATCTTTTAATGAATGCTCAAAATGAAAAGTTTAGAAGTAATGTTTTTAAATGAATATTATACAGTACCAATAACCTTTTTAGCCACCTTGCTATTTTCTATAATAATTCAGAATTTTTTTGTTAACATTAATTTTACTCTCCAATAATATGACATGGCAATTGTTACTTTGTAATCAATATATTCAACTAATTAAATCTTTGCATTTCACTCTAAGACATGGTTTGGCAATCTATGTTTAAATATGCCCACGAATTCTCAATTACATTTAATTCCGGGCTTCTAGACGGACCAGTCTACTAGAACTGATTTGAATTCGTAACATCAAATGGCTTATTGTATGCAACTTTTTGGTACGAAAATTAAACAATTGTTTTTAAAAACAAAGACTATTAGATATAAAGATGGTTGCTGTTTTGGAAAAAGAACAGAGAAAAGAAAGACTAAAAAGAAGATAAGTGAACCATTAAGAAAATGACATATGGCGCCATCTTATGTGAAAAGTGGTGAAAAGTGTTTTTCTCTAGTATTCTAGAGATTTTCTTTCTTTCAGAAAATAAATTTACCTCAATAAGATGTCATTAAAAACAATACAATTTGTTTTATATAAATCACAATATATATACTAATATATAGATAAACTAATAATGGAAATTATTGAAAATTTCATATTTTTTCAAAACTATATTTACTAATCAATATGGAACTAATATTAAAAAACTAGAAATATTTAATTGTTTCTTATTTCTTTGTGACATACAAGGAATAGTGAGAAAATCTAATGGTTTATTTTTAACAAATTGTTTATTTTAAACAGAAGTAGAAGGAAAAATATAAGAACTCTGGTTTTTTGTTTGAGAATAGAATATATTTACAATAGCTTTCTGTTTCCATTATTTGAAAAGCTTCCTATAAAAATAGTTTATTTAATGCATTATTTTAACAGTAGGAAATTGTTACATTTTTCTAATTGATGCAACATTACTCTTTTATTGACAGGAAATGACTCATCAAAAAAATTAACACTTGGTACCATGATAAAGAATAATCGATTAGACAGAAAAAGGCAGCATTCTTTCAAGAATTGATTTAAATACAATGACAATCTTTCTGCAGTTTAACATAACGATTATTCAATAATCGTTAAGGGAAGCTTTATCGATAATTAATAATATCTTGATTATTTTTGTCTGTTAAGTAAGTATAAACTTTCTACACTTAGTTATTGAATCATGAAGAGTTTGCATTGCAAAAGGTTTATTACCTGTCTCTTACTTCCAAGTAATTATTTTGTATTTTACATTCAAAAATTCTGTTTGAATGTCTTACTTGAATAACTTTTTACTTCTATTTCTATTATGTAGTTATTCCATTAGTAATTGGAGAAGATGATATTGCTAGGAACAAATTAACATTTCAAAGTACTACAACATATCCTTTTATTGCAAGTTTGGCTACTGATAGTACTATTGAAATAAATGATGTCTGTAATTCAAACCAATGAAAGTTTTCTCTTAACTATATTAAATATTGTTTTCCAGTTTCTAAAATGCTCCAAAACTAATCAGACTAAAGGTAGAGCCTGGTGGACAGCTGATCTTGAGGAAATATATACTGCAACAAAAGTTTGCATCTTGAATGTAAATAGTCCAAGTGGTTTGTAAAATTTTTAATTATGAACAAATAAAAATCAAAATCACTAATTTAATTAATTTATTTTAGCTGTTGACCTGAAAATTTTCAAGATCAAAGTTTCTAATTATCCACTTGAAGGAGCTGTTTGTTCAACTGTGACAAATTCAGTTATCACACCAACTTCAACTGCATCAAGCCAATATAGTTGTTATTCTTGCGGAACACCACTGGATGGATCATTTATTGACATTGAAGATCAGGATGAGGCTGTTAATTTGCATTTTTGCGATATTAAAGTTACTGGAACATATAAAAAGAAGCGAGGTTATTCAAAATATTTTTAATAAAACTTTAAATCGAAAACTGGTAAACAGTTTTTTATAGATTATTCAGCTTTAAATGTCCAATCTACATACCTCTTTGGCTCTGAATATTCGACTCCTCAAACAGATTACAATAAAACTATTACCTAACCTAACCCTAACCCTAACGACTATATTACCTATTTTGAAACAAAACTTTTGTTTGCTAAGCCAAAGCTGGTCATAAGATTACCAACGTCTATAAAAATATTTGCCATTTTGTTGATAGCAAACCAAGGTGATAAAGAATTATATAGTTTCTCTTCAATCCTTCTACAAAAATTATTATTTTCAGATAGTTCAAATGCAATGAAACTTACTTTTGTTCATGTTAGTTATATCCCTAATACAATGAATGCTCTTCCCAATGAAATTTGTTTTAGATATCATACACCTCCTGTAAATGGATTTTTTGAAAGTGTATTCAGAAAATGTGATAATGTTATAACTGGTAGATATATAATAAATGGAGCAGACCCAGGATTTCCTGTCAAATTCCAACTATCAGAATTAGTTATCTATGGACAAGAAGTAAAACATGTTGATAAATATGATAATAATATACAAAGAAAGGTTGAATTTCTTTAATTCTTATTGTTTTCTTTTAGTTATGAGTTTCTCTCATAAAAATAAAATTGTAAAATACGAAAAAGATGGTTTGGTTGTGTCAGATGCTTCATTCTTGACAAATAATGTATATTATGGCCCCGTATCTGTACTCATTACTGGCTCAAAGTGGAAAATTTTATTCAACAAATTATTAGTGAACACTCTCTGTTTGACAAGTAAGTAATAATCAAATTGAATATGAATTGAAAGATTAAATCCACTTTTCAATTATTTTTAAAGTGAATCACGGGGCGACTTTAAAACCAAACCCTACTTTTCAGATAACAAATTTAATTACAAATAATTCTGCTATACAATCATTTGTAGGAAATTTGGGATCAATTAATACGTTGTGCAAAACTTTTCAAACGTCTATGTTAGATAGTATAACAATCAATTTTCCAGGAGTTCATGTCCTATTGGAAATTGATATTTTTGGCAAAACAGAAATGACTTATGATTGTTTGTATTTGTTAAATATTTCAAATATTTTAATTCGATTACAAGACAATGTTTTTTTTCAGATTCAAATGTTTGTACAAAATCTGCCAGAGAAATTTCTTTAGAAAACAATGCTGTATGGCCACAAGATTTGCCCTACATTGTTGAAATTCTTGGTGAGAGTATCAACAGAGATATCTTTGTGACAACAGTTGTAAATTTGAATTCAAAGAAGAAAAATCGAATTTGTATCTATCAAGATAGTTTCTCTTCTTCAGAAAATGCAATTTATATTTGTGAATCATTTGACGAAAAACTTCTTGTTGCACCTTTCGAAAATAGAAATAATATCACAAAAATTAACTTTTACAAATAAACTAAAACGGGCAATGGTAGATTGCTGAATTGCAGATACATAACCATGTTTTGTGAGATTTATATGAAAAAGCCACAAAGTGATCATTGACAGCAAACAAGTACGCATAGAAATATTCCATTGTGACTGGGTATGGTCTGCCCCATTTTTCCTTATAAATTTGCACCTCTGAGCTTGATTTTATCAGTTATTAAGATCTTACCTCCCACTTTTACCCTCCATCCTCCTCCTGATCTCTTATTCTGATGAAATAACTCCAGAACGCATGTCAAACTGTAGTAAATTTCTCCCATTTTGAATCCACTCTTACCTTCTCCATCTTTGATTTATCAAACACTTATAGAGTTAAGGTTTTGCTAAATACTTGGCTGCCCATACTAAAATCTCGCCCTGGTAGGAGCCATTGATGCCATAAATCGCCATCTGGTATCTATTACCAATATTTTAGCCGTTGCCTGAGGTGTTATCACTCATGATTATTACTGAGTGATGTCCTCTTGCCCATTTTTACATCTTTTCACTGGACACAAGAAGTTTTCCCTTAAATTAAGACGTTTTATTAATGAAATTATTAGAAAACGTATTTTTTGCATAATATAATTCTTTTAGAAGTTTGGTTCTTCTTTTGACTGAAAAGATAATATGATCTATATGAAGCAACAAACAATACATTTGCACTGCTAAAAAATGAAGCAACTGACAAAGCAAAATATTTGGATTTGCACAGTTATGTTAAATCAAATTGAGTAATAATGACAAGTTGAAAACCAATAAATATTTTGTTTAGCCATTTGATTTCAAGAGTTATTTGTTTTCCTAGACTACTCACCCAAACAATAACTCTTTGTTTCAAATAATAAATTAATAATAGTAAGTTTAATTTATTAACAAGACTAACATTATAGAGTTTTTTGAATTGTATTATGTTAGTCATAATTCTACTTTGATTTAAATATTAAATTAAGCACAAATAGGATTATCTTGCTAATACTGATATATAAATCATATTCGGTTATATTGACCATACAGTATTGTTCAGTAGACATTTAATATACTTTCAAACATTTTCAAAATGTTATGCAAATTGTTACAAATGAAAGTTTTGAAAAATTCCCTTACATTCTATTTTCATTTTTAATATTATAATAATTAGGGGATATTCTATTAAATTCAGTTGCATCAGCTTTGATCGTAGATACGATGGACTGCAATTTAGTAGCCAAAAAATAACTACCTAAAAAGGTTACTTAAAATGTATAACATGATATGCCATATAGTTTGAAAATTCCCAACAAAATCTGCTTCAGTTAAAATTCAAGATGTAAAAGTTAAGTTCAAGAACAAAAGATGAAAATATTTGAAAAACCTCTATTTAGTTGAAAGCGCCATTAGTTGAATTATTATAAATCTTAATAAATGTTACTGTATTAATAAATGTTTCTTTTTGACTCTTTAATGCCTTTTTCTTGTTCACAAATAAATTATTAAAAAAAAAAAAGAAATATGAGAAAAATTCACTCAGCTGTTTTGTTTTTTAATTGTGTTTCTCTTGTTAATGTGCATAATGATATTGAATGTTTAATGAGTTAAAATGGAAGAGAGATAACGGATGGGGGTGCGAACGTACCCATGGCGGGTTGAAGCCTACCTTAATATATCTGAAATTGAGTGTAATATCTGTGTTTTTTATATTCCCTAACCCTAAATTGGAGCCCCTCTAACAATAAATTCATCCAAATATTAAAACTAACCCTTTCCTAAAATGTTTTCATGGTTGGAAATATTTGCTAACAGGTACGTTCGCACCCGACCCCAGAGATAACTATACTTACAATAATTTTCATTGTTCTCAAAGTAATCATAATTGTCTGTTGAAGTTAACAAACTTGGCTTATTATCTTTGTTTTCTGATTTAGGGTACAATTTCCATTTGAATTATTAAACTGAAAGGACCTAGTTATTTAAAATATAATTTTCTTTAATTATTTTAATTGATATCAAAATATAAAACTTACAAACAATTATATCTACTAGAGCAGAAATTTTGACATTCTTCCAAATTAACAAATATATTTGTAGCAATGTATGGCATATCTATAAATTTTCTGGGATATTTCTTTAAATGACATTCTATAGAACAAAGAGAATTTGACAAAAATCAAAATATATAAGTTTTTGCTTCCAAACCGCATTTTTCCACTTTCTCGAAATACAAAAAATTCGATTTTAATTCAAGATCAAACTCAGACTGTACTTTGGCTTTGAAGTAGCATATGTTGATACTTAAAGAGTAGACGATTGATCTGTTATACAAAAATTGTTTTATAGTTTATTTTTTTGTTTCTAAAAATAAAAATTATAAGAAAAAAGTGTTCGTTTTTTCCAACCTGCATAAAGCATATTTGTTACAGATAAGTTTACATTCTTCAAGTCCAAATCCATAAAGGACATGGCTAGGATGTCCGGGTGGAATAAATCCATTGCTATTCATATTTTTATCTTCTGTCATAATGTATGGACAATCCGAATAGAAATTCAAAAAATTTAATGTAATAATATTTATTAAAACATTGTAAGAAAGGTTTTTCTTTACTCATGGCTTTAAGAGTAAAGTTGTTTAGTATTAATATTATTTTGAAGAGAAGGATGATAAAACTCATTCCTAATTGGTTTAAAAGCATCTGTAATAATCTCCAAACTAAAATGAATACTTTGAAAGAATTCTTTTATAACAAAGTACTGAAGTACTTTGAAGTGAAAAGTTTTTTAAGCCTTTTCAAATATTGATAAAAACTTGACTTTTATAAACATTTGTTTTAATAGTAAAGGAAATAGTGAATATTAATGTCCCATTACTTTTTCCTGTATTATTCAAGTTGGCTTTTATTAATTGTCAATTCAGAATATCATCTTTATGTGTCAATTGTTCAATGGAGAATGCCAGTAAAGCATATAGGTTTTTTGTATGCTCTAATATAAAAAGCAATTCTTTTTAGATAATATAAAAAATAATCATTAATATTAATATGAGATTATCTAGCTTTTCTTTTCAAGAAGAGAATAGTACTTTCATTATTTATTAACCCATTAAATCATTTTTGTTTCCATTATACAATTATACATTTAGAAGAGTTCAACAACCTTTCTACAATGTTCCATTATAATAGGCTTATAGACAGTGATTACTTGAGTACATGTAATGAAAAGGCTAAGACATAGGCGTGCAAATAGATCTGCCAATCAGGGAGAGTGTTTTGGGTATATGTAGTAGAAACTTTTATCTAGAGTAGCTGTTCCTAGCTTAGTCTAATCTCTGTATCTTCAACTGCGACAAATCCAAATTCCTAAAATGGGTAGAGTGAAATTTAGAGTAAAGTTAATAACAATTTACCAGGCTCACAGTATTTCTGGATAAATGATCCCTTCTTCAGGTGAGTTTGAAAAGCCATTGGCAGATCGCCAGCAGACTGATTCTTCATAGGTTTAGTATATCTATGAGACGATACTAGTAAGCCTTGCTTAATTTCATCTTTTTTGGCACTCAACAGTATTGTCAATTAATCACTATTAATCGCGAAATTTTCAAACTACTTTGATTTAATGCAATTTTGTGCAGAGGTAAATCTAATCGATATGAATATTAATCTAATAATTGAATATCTTTACCAAATTTGAGCGAAACCGGTAAAGCCGTTCGGTTTTGACAGGAGTTTGAAGTTGACTGTGGATAAAACTGCCTAAAGTCAGATATCTTGAGCTACTTTTGACACCAATAAGAGTATAACCTTTACAAATAACCACAGATATAGTGATCAATTAGTAACCATTCATAAGCGTGTATTACAGAAAGACCTAGATGAATTTTATGTTCCCTCCTATCTATATATGGGCAATCATAAGACTGTTAACAAGAGCTACATTAGGGTTAAAAATGTCCATAAATTTCAAGGCTAAATTTCAGATAGAAAAAAGGGGCTAGGAAGATAAAATATTTCTTTGTGTATTATCCAAACCATGAAAATCTATATTTAGAACAACAGGAAGGAAATAATATGAAACTAAATTATAGATAGAAGCATAGTATCCCTTATAAGCTTAGAAAAGGAAGAGAATTCTTCATAATTCTTCGTATCTTTCTACATTCATCTATATCAATATTACA